TCAAAGAACAACACACAAGTCTTGCCTGAGGAGATGATACTAGAGCAGTCCTCTAGAAGACGCCTTGCAGGCAGCTTGAGAGGCCTGGGCATGCATGGTATGCTGCAGTTTCTGCAGGGAGCGTGAAGCAAATAAAGCACAAGGGGTGGATGGAGGTGCAGACAGAGGTGAGAATTCAAAGTACAGGAGAGTCAAGATTGTGAAAGGCTTCCAGTACCAAATTTGGAGGTAACTGACACACACTAAATAAAGGATTTTAAAGAGAAATACCACCTTTGCCTTTTGTACCAGATAATCAAGGAAATGGGAATTAACCCTATCTCCTGTGGGACATGGGCGATCATTCCTTGGGCCAGTCTACAACAGCCTGGACCTAAAGGAAAGAAAGAAATGAGGCTGAAGAGCACTAACAATAGTAGCAGGGGCCCTATGGGGTCTGGGCTAGCAGCCTTGAGAACCTGACCTTTTGGGAAAGTGGGGAACTCAGAAGACCCTGGGGACACAGCTCTATTCTCTAAAAAGCTTTGTATTTTCCATTTCTTTTTATTCTCCCATCATGTAAAATGGCCACAAAAACTCTATCTGAGTGCTCTAAAATGCAGAAAGGAAAGGGGAATATTTTCACAATGATTTTAGAAGAGTAGGTTATAGACCTCAGGTTCATGAGCATAAAAATTAAATCATCCAAAGAGCATTTATTGAACACCTCCTACAGGTCAGGATCTCTATATAAAGGTAGAGTAGTGCTTCTCAAACTTTGACATGCATGGGAATCTTCTGGGATCTTGTGAAAATAGGGACTTATTGAGTTGGTTTGAGGTTGGGAGGGGATTTTTTTTTTAAATATTTGAAATTCAAAATTAAAAAAAAAAAACAGTTGAATTTAAACATCCTAGGTTCTGTACAGAGAAATGAGACCCTGATAACCTTGATTATAATATGTAATTATGTACCCTTGAAAGCAAAGATAATACTTGGCATGGAGTGAAGACTTCAGTCATGCAGTACTGAATAACTTCAGAAAAATGAAGAGAGCAAGTAATATTTCAGTAAACTCCTGGCCGCCAGATGACACAGTCTTGTTTGATTTAGTATTTAAGTGATCACTAGTGTTATTAACTCTTAACAGAGCAGAGAGAACAAATGATGGATTTTTTTTTTATTTTTCAGAGAGAGGGGATTGAGGAGTGAATGGATGCTGGGAGGGAGGCACTCACTGAGAAATCCCAGAATGAAAAGAAGCCAACCAGGTAAAGGAATCATGTTATGGAAGGAGGAAGAACACTTCCTGGAAGTTTCATGAATATATGGTTGATGCCTGATGCTTCCACTCCATAAACCTTCATGTCCGGCTCCAAATGAGCCATGCCTCATCTCACCAGCTGGACTCATTTTGTGTGTTTTAAGTGGCTGAATCATCACCTTTTCTCCCTCTCACATTACTTCACAAACACTAAAAGTCAGAAATGTCTTCTTTCCCATGCTCTAGTCTCATGTCACACAGCAAAGTAATACCCATTGAACTAAAATAGCTGTCAACTTGCTAATAAATAAGAAGTATTAAACTAAACTCACACTAATGGAGCTGTGTGGGGGTGACAAGGTATTCAGAGCCAGTCAAGCTTCCCAGCAGCTCACTCCTGAGGGCGCCACTTCATAAACAGAGGCATTGATGGGCATCCCTGAGCACCGGGGGCTTCCCAATTCCCACATGTCATGAACAAGTGAGGATAGATATTAATGGGAATGGTGCTTGATATTACCATCAGAGTTAAACAAACTTGCCATTACATTACGGGGGAGCCTTCACAACATTTAGGTCTGAAAAAAATCCTCCTTTCACAGTCCCTCTTTTCACAGTTTCAATATATATATGTACATACTGAAGCAAGTGTGTGTGTTTGTGTCTGTGTGTGTGTGTGTGTGTGTAATGCTACACGGACTGTTTATTTTGCTTTTTAAAAAAAATCAGCTAACATGCACAAGCAGAATGTTTCTGACAAAATAGTGAGAAGAGGTGTTTGGAATAAATAAAACTGTACACGTACAGTCCTCTCACCCCCACCCAAACTCTACAAATATTTCCTTCTTATGTATCTGAAGTATGGAAATCCAGAATGTCCATAGCTCCTACAGTTATTGATAAACAGCTGTTGATGAACAGAGCATAGTTCTGAACAATGTCACTCAAACCACTCCAGAAGATAGGCGGTGTGGCTGTGGACCATTGAACTTTCTGCTGCTACTCCAGGAAGAGCAGGGAAATAGGAAGGCGGGATGGACTTTATGATTTTCGGTACCCAGGGCTAAATAAAATGGTGGAACTTCTTGTTCAACAAATGGTTAAATCTTTCCAGACTTCGGGTTAGAATATTAGAGCAACCTTGGTGCCTTCCATGAAACTGCACAGACCCTGTGGAAAGGATCAAGGACTGGCACACCTCTAGAACAACCACATACATTTTTTTACTATTTTGTTCAACATAGAACACCTGAATTCATTATTTTGCATTTCCACAGTGCCTCAGTTTTTTAAAAATTATCCTTTCTTTTCAAAATCATGTCTCTGTTTAAATCATGGGTGGCTTAGAATTATTTCACACATAGTAGAAAGTTTATGGTCCCTTGGAAGCCACATGAGTAAACTCCCCCACTGCCCATGCCTATCCCTCTGTGTCCTACCCTTCTACACAGAAGCATAATTCCGGAAAGTCCCTCATGCTTCTGTTCTTTACTAAAGCGACGTATTTTCCTGCTTCAGTTATCTTCCCAGGGAAAGAGCAAAAGTGAATCCTGTTTCTGCTGTTTTTACCACCCTGTGCCTTGGGGAATGATAGGCACTTAGAAAAATTCTTAAGCCGTGACTAAAATTTCCTTGGTTGCTCATTCCGATTTGGGGAAGGTTTACCACCTGGGATTTCCTAAACCAACCCTCATCAATAATCAAGGGTTATCCCCTAGGTTTCCCAAAGTTTATTGTAGCTGCTGCTGTTGTTGCGATTATAAAAATCTTCTATATATATATATGGGGGGAAAATGCCCCTTCCAAAACAAACATGAGGAGCTGCTCAAAGGTAGTCACGCAGAAAAAAAAGATGAAGAAAAAAATTCTGACATTTCTATATAAAGAGTTCTATCTAAAGATGTCCCTTCTGAAGAAAGATCATAAGTATTTCAAAGAAAGCACAAGTTTTGTATCTTCCTCTGTTAGACAAAAAACAGAGAGATAATAAGGAACTCTGGTGATAAGACATGTAGACCAATGAGTCTATTTGGCTTTAAAATGTTTGAGTTGAACAAGCCTTCTCTATAACCATCTCTCACATCACAGAGTTGAGCTGCAAGTTGTAATTAAATCTCTATTTTCTCACAAACTTCTTTTCCCCATCTACAGTAGGCAGGGACAAATGTTAAAGTGTCTACAAGGAAAAAATATATATGTAATATATAATATAAAGGCATAGGCGAGGTGGTTCACACCTATAATTCCATCACTTTGGGAGGCCAAGGTGGGCAGATCACGGGAGAGATTGGGACCATCCTGGCTAATATGGTAAAACCCTATCTCTACTAAAAATACAAAAATTAGCTGGGTGTGGTGGTGCAAGCCTGCCCTTCCAGCTACTCGGGAGGCTGAGGCAGGAGAATCACTTGAACCCAGGAGGCAGAGGTTGCAGTGAGCCAAGATCACACCTCTGCACTCCAGCCTGATGACAGAGCGAGACTGTCTCAAAAAAGAAAAAAATAGGCATATTTGTAACTATGGCCTCATTTGCTTTTTCTACTAACCGAAGTAGGAAGAGATCCATCTACGTAGGACCTCTTCTTGCCGTGATGATACAGTTGGATGGTTTTTCAGTAATTTATTTTAAAAACCGATTGTTGCTCAGCACAGAAATTTTGTTAGGTGGGTATGGCTGGCAGGAACTGAATGATTAATCATATCATTCAGATATCCGCAATTAAAAAACAAACAAACAAAAACTCATTACCTAAAACTGTCTGTTTAAAAATAGATTTAGTTTCTGCCCAAGAAACCCGGGAGAAAGTGTTGCTCTCTCCAAGCAGCCAGGAACACAGATTTCCTCTAGAGGGTTAAGGCAGTTAAATAGAAAGATATATGTTTTAAGGGAGTTGTGCTTTAAAATTACTTCTAATTTATCCACTTACCAGACATGTATTGAGGTAAAATGATCAGCAGTAATGTGCAGCAGAAAGATATATACTTTTTTAATTGTAGCCAAGAGGAAAAAAGCAGCATGGAATAACTTAATCGTTGCTAATTATAATATCACTGAGGTAATTACAATAGATTTTGATTGTCTCATTTTCACACCAGAGGAGGGCACAATGCTGGCATTTCTCTTAATACATATTTGTTTTTAGAGAAGAGCTGACAATTATACTAATTGTAGTCACAGCATGAAATTTTGTTTTTAAAGAAAAAATTGTCTACGTGTCACATGGAATAAACGCACCCTTTCTGTTTGGTTAGGTGCAAATCAAAGACACATTAATTGCTTTGTTTATTATGTTAGGAGATCTCTGCATTGTTGCAAGCATTATCAATTTTCCAAGAGCCTAATCCACTGCAAAGTCCTCAACATCCAAGAAATTGTCCTGGTACTTAAATGGGCCACTTTTTGAAAGCTTTGGAAGGCAGTTCCTTCACATTGCCTAAAAACCACTTGTTCAGATCTGGAAGATAATAAATACATAATTCTTCCATTATCAGGAGCAAAATGAAAGAAAATAGCATTTGTGAAAATATGAAATAAAGGTTCTACCCATCTGCTCCCCTCACTATTTTATAGGAATTCCAGAAGAAAACATAGACAATGAAAAAATGATAGAATAAAAATAGCTCAGAGCTATTTTATACCAGAAGACATAGTCCAGTCTTTAGATTTCCAGGAGTCACCATTATTCCCACTCCATGGAGAGCTAGCTGAAATAAAATAACAGGGACGCACTACCAGACACATTCTGATGAAACTTACGATCTCCCGAAGTTGAGAGATACAGAAGAACTGGGTGATGGGGAAAGTACTCCAAGCTCCCCAAGATTTCACAGCAAACCAAAATGCACAGGTGGACCTGCATTATTAAAAAGATAGAGATATTACCAAATACATCACAGAAACTGAACAGTGGCTATTTCTGGGGAGTGAATTGGAAAGAAAGAGCTAGAAGAAAACTTTTATGTCATGTGATTCCTTTCTATATGTTTGTATTTTTTTTAACTATGGGAATATAGTACTTTTATGGTGAAATAATTTTATGTTTGTTTTTTAGTTTACTTATTTACTTATTTGAGACAGAGTCTGCAGCCTTGACCTCCTGAGCTCAAGTGATCCAATCACCTCAGCCTCCTGAGTATCTGGGACTATAGGCATGCACCGCCATGCCTGGCTAATTTTAAAAAATACATACTTTATAGAGATAGGATCTTGCTATGTTTCCTAGGCTGCTTTCAAACTCCTGGGTCCAAACAAACCTATTGCCTTGGCCTACCAAAGTGTTGGGATTATAGGCATGAGCCATACACCTGGCCTCTGTGTATTTTTAAAATTTTAACATGGCATTATATTATATGCATTTTCACATAATTCATTTTTCATCAAACACATTAATTATTTTACAAAATTATAATTTATAAATACATCATGTGTTATACAATGACCTATATCCTCTAGGATATTTCTTGATTTTTGCTACTATAAATAAATTCGTGAGGAAAATCTCCATATATTCCTGTTTCTGAGACTATCTGATATCCTATAGAATTAATTTTGAGAAATAAAATTCTATCTTAAAGGCTTTGGCACTTATTACTGGTTGTTCTACCAGGAAATTGTTAAAAAAAAATTTTTCCTATTAAAAACAGGACTTTTATTAATTGTGAATTTTTTTCACATAATCAAATGATAGTAGAAACAAGCATAACTGGTCCTCAGGAATATGTGGACGGCAGGCAGGGTGTTTGTTGTCCATCCTTATCTGTGCTTTGCTCTGTGGGTTGGTGGATTTACTTTTTCTTGTCAGACTGGCTTGATACAGATGACAGAGGATCTGGTTGTTACCTATTCCAGACATTTGCTTACAATGTAGCCAAGAGATACCATTTCCTTCAAAAATCCCAAGGAAGGGTTCTAATTGGTTCAGCTTGGGTCAAGTGCTCAGCTGAAGCCTATTACCTGTCGTCAACAGACTTCTTTGTCTTTTCCTAGTTTTCTAAAAGAAAACCCCTTTTTCCTAGTTTTCTAGTATTCTACTCATTCTCTACAATTCAACTTGTAATCACAACAACTTAAATTAAAAATATGGCCAATAAAATTACATGTTACCTAGCTCGAGCATCCCAGGTCAACTTTAGACTGCTGTGCTGGCAGCAAGAATTTCAAGCCAGTGGATCTTAGCTTGCTGTGCTTCATAGGGGTGGGATCTGCTGAGCTAGACTACTTGGCTTCCTGGCTTCAGCCCCCTTTCCACGGTAGTGAACAATTCTGTCTCACTGGAGTTCCAGGTGCCATTGGGGCATGAAAAAAGCTCCTGCAGCTAGCTAGGTGTCTGCCCAAATGGCTGCCCAGTTTTTTGCTTGAAACCCAGGGTCCTGGTTGCATAGGCACCCAAGGGAATCTCCTGGTCTACAGGTTGAGAAGACCATGGAAAAAGCATAGTATCTGGGTCAGATAGCACCATTCCTCATGGCACAGTCCCTCACAGCCTCCCTTGGCTAAACGAGGGAGTTCCCAGACCCCTTGGGCTCCCAGCACAGTACTTGAGCTCTACTAAGGGACAGACTGCCTCCTCAAGTGGGTCCCTGACCTCTGTGCCTCCTGACTAGGAGACACCTCCCAGCAGGGGTCGAATGACACCTCATACATGAGAGCTCTGGCTGGCATCTGGTGGGTGCCCCTAGGTCCAGAGAAAGGAACAGGCAGCAATCTTTGCTATTCTGCGGACTCCACTGGTGACACCCAGGCAAATAGGGCCTAAAGTGGATGTCCAGGAAACACATAAGAAAGTGTTGGTTATAAAATGATATAATCACCACCATCATCATCACCGTATAGTCTTCAAATTGAATGTCAGTTTCAAAACATTTGGGAAACCAGGAATGAAAAAATGGTCTGTTACTAGAGAGAGATCAGAGGGAATCTGTGTGCACTGTGGAGGTGGAGCTGGAAGCGACTTGTGCGGAAAGAGTTTGACACAGGTGTTCCTGGTCTGACTGCGAAGGAGAGATGATTTCTAGGAAGGAGAGTAGCAGCCATGTCCTTCCAGTTGAAGGAAAAGGATAGCAGAGAGGACAACCTTAAGTAAACCACCTTTGTCTCCCAGATTAGGTACAAACTAATTTATCTGACAAACAAATGGGACTGATTAGCAAATAGAGCTTCTGGACTCCTGAGGGGTTTTGGAATTAGCAGGAGGAGGTTAAGGACCCTCAGAGGTTTAATATGAAACTCACAGCATCCAGAAACACAGTCAAAACCATACTTGGCACTAAGAATCAGTTCTGGTCCTTCATCTGCAAAACCCAGTAATGTTAATTTCTTTAGCATTCATAAATGAAAATCAGAGATCAATATAATTACAACAGATTATCATTGTAGAACAAGCTTTTTATATGGGTATGGGTTCTATTATTTAGAGACACTGTGTTGAAAACAATTCCACAATGGCTTTGAATAATGATGCATGAAAAACTGAGAATTTTAAATTTTCATTATGGTGTCTAAAGAAAAATGTGGTTTATGTCGTTAAATATGCCAATTCACCAGAGTCAATACATTTATTCTCCATTTCCTGTTTACCTCCTGTTGAGGGCCCTGAAGTAGAAGACTCCCGAGTCACACTGAGGCTTTAGGATTCAAACATTTGAACACTTTGAAGCTATGACACTGATTATGTCCTTTCCCTGAAGGGGAAAGTAACTTCATTCGTTCCCTGAATGGGTGCTGGTTACAAATGTATATTCAGTTTGTAAAATTTTGGCCATTTGTGTAATTAGAATATGAAAGTTTTCCATATTGATACTTTATTTCCATTTTAAAAGACAATCTCAGTCCTTGGGAACATAAAATGAAATAATATATGATTTTCTGAAATCATGGATATAATCCTCACATTTCATAATATATGAACTCGGTATAAATATCGCCACATTTTCAAAACCAGAAAAATGGTCAAAATATGGATTGTTCTAAACCTCTAAAAACGGTTTACAAAAGCTCCTGTGCTCTAACAAGCAGTCTTCTTTATATGCCTTAGAGATCCTAGATCACGTCTTAGATAATGTAACAAAAAATCAACTACAAAAAATGTTGCCAAAGTATTTTCATATTTCAGGGAATAGTTGTTTGTTGTTTTTTGCTATTTTTATTACAGGGGAAAAAAGGTTATTTTACTTGTCCAGTGCGTTTATTTTCTTTCTTAAAATATTTATGTTAGCTCAAACATGTATAAAAAAATTAAGGTTTTTCAATATTGCATAATCCCTAAGTGCCTTATTAATTGTATTTCTACTTCTTAAAGTTATTAATTCACAGATATGAGGAGGGGAAAAGCAAACATTTTTCAAACGGTTATTTCTGCTGAAAATCAGGTGTATATTTTCTTTTGTTCTCTAAGAAGCTGGTTTAGCTTCTCAAATTTGTTACTTTTTCATTTTTCAATCCATCATATTGATTTTTCTCTTCATCCAGGTTTGTGCAGTTTGGAAATTATACCTCCTTATGAAGATCTGTGAAATCTTTTATGGGAAGAAACAATCGAGTTCTGTCAACTGAATCACTCCTGTCAGTTACTGAAAGACACACGGAATAAATTATGGCTGGCCAAATGTGACCTTTTAAAAACCACAGTGGCTCTTTAAGGTATAAGCTTTATCCCACCTCCTGCCAAAAGGAATGATTATGAGAAAAGCTAAGACCCTATTGTCAGTGTTGTAATATTTATGCAGGGTAATCCCCTTGGCATGTAAATAATTCAGGATTTAAAAGTACTAAGTGAACAAACAAATACTAAAAATGCAAAATGTTGCCACACTCCCTAAGTGGTGAATTATCCAATCCTGGTTATATTCCATAGCTGAGGGAAAGAAAATCAATAAAAAATGAAAAACAACACGTGTGTAGTAATATACATTCTGGGGAGAACTAGCTGTGTGCAAAAGAAGCACTATTTGACACAGTGCAATATGTTACTAAAAGTGGATCAGAAATACTATATTTGTTTAACTGATGTAACACACACACACACACACACACACACACACACACACACAAACTGGACTGAAGTAGGGTCCGAAAGAGGTTTAAGAAGAAAGGGAAAGGGAAATTCATCTGGACTGGGGAGATTGGTATGAAGGCAAACACATAAAAGGGGAGGTAAATGTAAATTAGTTTGACTGGAGTAAGGTGTTAGGAATAGAATGGCGTTGTGACTAGGCTGGAAGAAGCTCTCAATGATATATAAAGCAGAGGGATGTGTTTATGTGTTCCAGAGGTAACAGAGATACATTAAAGGGGAAAGAAAGAAAACTGGTAAAGGCTGTTTCATGAAAATATTTTGACAGCATGAGCTTATCTAAATCTTCATGAATTTCCATGTTGTCTCTTAGCTTGGGAGCATATAATTGGTAAGAATCTCAGGAGGCTGCCTAGTTTCTCCTCCACTCCAAGCAAGACTGAGCAATTCCTGACTCATTCTATTTTTAAATGATTAGTGGAGTTGGCACCATGACCTTGAAAGGTGACCAGTTGCATTTTATATAGCACCTGCACAGTTATGGAATTCAACCAGTGTTTAGCTCATGTCCCTTCTTCAGTGGACTTGATGCCATACCTTTTTACTGAAATTGGGATAAGCGATGGGAAGAGTCTTTGCAATAACATTGTACTCCTACAATTCCAACTCCCTAAAAATAGGTCGGTGTTGTACATCAAGGTACTTCTTCATCTAACTCACTAACATAATGAAGAATACTTTAATTTTCTATGTAATTTTAGGGCACACGAGACCCTATAATATTTTTGCATATCCAGGCTTCTATTTGCTTTTTCGTCTTCCTGAAGACACTTCCCTTCTTATTTTTCTGACAAAATCCAACTCAACATTCAAGAGTCAATTTGGATGTTAACTGTATTTTAATGAAGTCTTTTCTTTCCTCCTGCAGTTTTTTAAACCAATTTTTGTCACACCAGTGATTACATTGCTGTTATAGTCTGGTTGCCCCATCAGACTTTCTCCCTGGTCTTTGAGCCCCCATGCATTCAATGAGTGATATGCAGCAGGCTTTAACAGAAGATTGCTGTGTTGGTTAATACTAAGTGTCAACTTGATTGGATTGAGGGATGCAAAGTATTGAACCTGGGTGTGTCTGTGTGGGTGTAACCAAAAGAGATTAAAATTTGAGTCAGGGGGCTGGGGAAGGCAGATCCACTCTTAATCTGGTAGGCACAATTTAATCAGCTTTCACTGAAATATGAAGCAGGCAGAAAAATGTGAAAGAAAGAGATAGGCCTATCCTCCAAGCCTACTACATCTTTCTTCCATGCTGGATGCTTCCTGCCCTTGAATATCGGACTCCCAAGTTCTTCAGTTTTGAGACATGGACTGGTTCTCCTTTCTCCTCAGTTTGCAGACACCCTATTGTGGGACCTTGTGATCATGTAAGTTAATACTTAATAAACTCCCCTTTTATCTATATATCATCTATATATATTGAGAGAGAGAAAAACATTCATTGTATTTTTTTTAAATTTTATTTTAGGTTCTGGGGTACATGTGCAGGTCAAATGATTAGCTGAGGTGGGGCTGTGACCTTGAAAGGTGATCAGTCGCATTTTATATAGTTACAGAATTCAACCAGTGTTTAGCTAGTTTGTTCTTCAATTGATGCCATATCTTTTCATTGAAATCAAGATAAACGATGGGAAGCTGTAACATTGTACTCCTACAATTCCAACTCCCTAAAAATAGGTCGGTGTTGTACATCAAGGCATTTCTTCATCTAAATCACTAATGCAATGAAGAATTCTTTAATCTTATATGTGATTTTAGAGCACACGAGACCCTATAATATTTTTGCATAGCCAGGCTTCTATCTGCTTTTCCATCATCTTGGAAAAACTCCCCTTCTTATTTTTCTGACAAAATCCAACGCAACATTCAAGAGTCAATTCAGATGTTAACTGCATTTTAACAAAGCCTTTTCTGGTGTGTATATATATATATATATAATCACTATGTGTATAAGTGAGTTTAATTAATTCTCATTTTATAAATGAGAACACTGAGAGTTTGTTAAAGATTACAAAAGTTTTTTAGTCCTTGGTCCTTTCAGTTGGTTTGTACTACCTCCCTAAATAGGGTCTGCCAAAACAAATGAGCAAACAAAAACTTAAATCTAAAGAAAGAGACATAACCTGCAAATATAGTAGGTTTATGCATAAAACTGGTTACTTGCATTAAGGTAGACAGTAGAGAGTAGCACATCTGCGTCTCAGTGAATCAGAATGCCTCAATTTGTCATGAAACAAACTAGCATAAGTGGGTTTGTTTGCTGCAGATTGTTGGGGAATCCACTTTATTTATTCTTCTATGAAACAGAATAGGAGTGTATCGAATTGTATATGAGAACTATAATGAAAATTCTTTCCCAAAATCGTAATATTCCAAAGTACAATTATGGAATTCCAAAATTAAATTATCTATGTTATTTTAGTTCTCACCATTTATTTGACTTAGTTTTATAGAATAAAGGTCAATGTTTTTCTGCTTGCTCACTTTGTTACTAAAAAATGCTTTTGGTGCTGTATTTGTTGAGTATTTTGATTAGCATTTTTTTGACTGATTTGAACACAATGTAACCAAAGCTTCTCTGAAAATGTAACTATCTTTGTCAGTCACTTGTGGTTATTCATAAATACATTTCTCTAAATCTCAGACATTTTAAAATTCAAGTGTGGGGGCAGCAAACAGAAAAAACACATACCTTTATCTCAAGTTTTTTTTAATTATTTTTACTTCCACATCAGCTTTGTCACACGCACACACAAATTGTAGTTAAGTTACTTTGGGTATACGTATATTTATATATTTCATCAGCTCTAACAATAACTGATTCTATTTTTTGATACATTCTAGTAGTGTGTGGGGATGGCTTAGGAACTATGTATGCACCACACTGAATTTGATAAAAAATATTTCTATTCCATGGATTTACTGAATTAATAAAACATTGTTTGTAGCACAATATAGTGTTACCCCAAATTTATGTTGGATTAGCCCAAAAGCAAAAAAGTGAATTTTATGTCCTATGTTGAAACTCTTGACTGAATTGACTATAGCAGGGGTCCCCAATCCCCAGTACTGGTCCCTGTCTGTTAGGACACTGCTGCATAGCAGGAAGTGAGCTGCAGGTGAGCAAGTGAAGTTTCATCTGTATTTATGACCTCTCCCCATCACTCACATTACCACCTGAGCACTACCTCCTGTCAGACTAGTGGTGGCATTAGATCCCCATAGGAGCATAACCCTATTGTGAACTGCACATGTGATGGATCCAGGTTGCACACTTCTTATGAGAATCTAATGCCTGATGATCTATTGTTGTCTCCCATCATCCCCAGATGGAACTGTCTAGCTCAGGACTCCCTCTGAGTCTACATTATGGTGAGTTGTACAATTGTTTCATTATATACTACAATGTAATAATAATAGAAATAAAGTGCACAATAATGTAATGAGGTTGAATTATTCTAAAACCATCACCCCCACCCCACTCCCTGGAAAAACTGTCTTCCATGAAACAGGTCCCTGGTGCCAAAAAGTGGGGAGGACCACTAGACTATAGGCTTGAGGCGGGGACGCAGATGTTGCAGTGGGTCAAGATGGCGACATTACACTTGAGAGCCTGGACAACAAAGGGAGGCCCTGTCTCAATCAATCAATTGATCAATCAATAGATGAGGGATTGCCATGGTTGGGAGAGAAAGAATAGGGAAAACACTGCACACACACAAAAGGAACTTTTTGCAAAAGACCAAAATGACTAAAAATTAGATTTTTTTCTGGAAGCCTTTTAAAATGTGATTACTATCTCTGCAACTGCAGACAATGAGTGTGAGTTGACTCCTCTGCTCTATTATGACCTTCCATAGCACATGAAGTATGAGCTGCTGGGGCCCATCTATGGAAGGTGTTTTTGTTTCCCTGGCAGAGCGAGCCCATCCACATCCTATCTGAACTCAGAGAAGCGGACGGGGGAGATTAAGGACATATCAGGGCCATACATGACCTGCTTTTATCTTAAACTGTGTCTGGCCAAATGGGACACTGTACTCTTGAGAGGATAATTAACTCTATTTTTATTTGTTTGTTTTCTCTTATTCAGGAGATGGGAAATGGTAGAGAATGAAAGGAAGACAGCATTCTGGGAAAATATCTCACCTGCTTCTGGAGTCAGACAGCTCGGCTTAAATCTTAGCTCTGCCTCTGAGTAAATTAGAATCTTAGGAAAATGTAGTCAACCTCTTTATACCTCAATTTCTATGTTTACAACTGGTGAAAAAAACACTTTCTTTATAGAGCTGAAATGAGTAGTAAATAACCATCTATTTCAAAACTCTTACTACTGGACCTAGCACAATCAGCTAGCCATTACAAGGCATCTATCAATTTTATTTTTGTTTTATTTAATTCTTAGAAACTATGTAAAAGATACTACCATATTTCTGCTCTAAACATTGTCTCAGAAAAATAAAATAACTCTGTACACAGGACAGAGCTAGTATCCAGACTGTTTTTTTCTTGAAATAAAAGCCTGTGATGAATGAAGTGGTGCATGCAGATAGCATATTGAGAATGTAAGTCCAGGGACAATGATCTAAGGCCACAGTGTGCAGCAGAAAGAAGAGAAAAAACAAAACAAGGATGCTCCATCCAGATGGCCACTGCGCAGAGCTTATAGGACCTTCTGGGGAGCTTTAAGAAAGGTCCCAAAATAACAGCCTGGGCAGGGGAAGTCACATCTCCATGTTTCTCTTTCCCCAGTGGTCAGCATTGACTAAGTTCCAAGGAGATGTACAGCCCAGTCGGAGTTGCAGGTGCTGAAGGCTTTCCAGGTCTGTGCAGATCTGGCTACCTCCGTAGATCTGGTTGCCTCTGTGGTGGGTGAAGTAAGAGGCGGGGCATCTAACAGGATCTGAACCAGCTAATCACTGGGAAGATTGGGTCTGTTTGCCTCCAGAGCTTGCACTTTTTCCAACATAACCACGATGTTCAGGAACACAGATACAATGACTTCCCAGTGCAAATCTTCCTGTGGGATGGTTCAACTGTGTTGACCTCAAAAGAGGTCAGATGGCTGTAATATGTGATTCTGTTCTGATAGCTACTTCTTAAACTGGGTCTACCAGGTGGCACAATTGCCAATCTAGGGGGATTATGGTTTAATTATTTCCATATTGCATGCAAAGAAAACCTTGATGGTTCTCAATCTTGAATCCATATTAGAATCACCTGGAGAGCTTAAAAGAACTCCAGAGACCCAGTTTCCATTCCTTGGAGATTCGTATTTATTTGATCTGAGATATACCCTGGCACACCTTGATTCCAAGGTGGAGGTAGGTTTGAGAATCAGTGACTCAGAAGACAGCAGCCAGAGCAACTGTCCAGTCTTTGTATCTGCAGATCACATCCATATATAGTCCTGAAACTTGTCCAACAGTCTTCTCAACATTTACTTCATTTTGCTCATGTGAGAACAGCTATGAGTGATGCTGTCATTCCTCTCCCAACCTCCACATTCTCAGCTAAGGGAATTCCCTTATCTTAAATTCTCCCTGTTTCATCGGAGGCCAGAGGTTACAGGTTTGGTTATACATGCCTATTATAAATAGAGAAGAGTCCCAAGAATGTGAGGCAAAAGAGAAATAAACACTTTATATAAATAAAAAATAAATAACAGAACATTATCTCATATTAAGATAACTTTTCCAGATATAAATTTTTCATGTTAGAATACTTCAAAAATATGGAAGAAAACTATAGTCACCTAGACATAATCACTCTTAAGATGGTATGTTTTTTTTTTCAGTAGACTTTACTTATGTATATACATGTATTCATTGTAACTTCCTTGTTTAATCAAGTGTCCTTCCTTAAGCATGTTTTGATTATCAAATTAATGTTGTGATTCTTCAAAGCCTCTGGCAGTATATAACCATATCTGTCACTCTAGTTTGGAACTGAGGAATGAGGGGCTGTGGCTCTCCCAGAAATCCCTTGCTGGACAGAGTCATTTGCCATAGGAACCTCTATTGTCCCTGCCTGGTTCTTCTCCTATAGCCAGAATCAATTCACCAGAGGCAAGGTTAGGCAGGTGATGCTCTTGCCAGAAAAGTCGCAGGGTAGTCGGCTCTCTGAAGGCAGGGGCTGTGTGCTCTCTCCCAGCTCTCCTTCTGCACTTTGCCTCACCCTACACTCTGCACAAAGGGCATTGTCAGTAACTGGGAATTGACTGAGAACTATGTCATTAAAGATTCATAAATACCTCCCAGCATTTCAATGAATATCCAAAGAATATGGTGCCCTTAGCTACATTATTGTATAATCGAATCAATAAGAAGATGAAAACAAGGACCAGAGAAGCTCCTCAATGTCCTAATTGTTTATCAAGAAGCAAGAGAAAAGAATGTAAAGGGAATTTGGTCCTGAAGCAAAAGGAATAGGTCACCTTTGTTTGTGTCCATGTCACTTCAGTGGTCGGATTCAGTCCCTTTTCTCTTCCTAATTGTCTGAGTGTTTTATTTGTTTGGTTGTTGCTTGTTTACAGGTTTTTAAAAAACATTGTTGAATTTCCCAGAAATTCATAATTTTTTTGTTGTTCAAAAAGCTAGGTTTTGGACCATTACATTTTACTTCTTCATAATTTTAACTCATTGTTTCCTGCTTTAATATTTACAGTGTTCTATTTCTTCTATTCTTAGGGTATAGTTTAATAATTATTTGAATTATAGTTCAATGTATACCCTTTTGGCAACACGCATCGAAAGTTTACCATTTAGCACTAATTTTAACAAAGCATAGTCACATTTGACAAGACTATGCTTTGTTCTCATGTTGTTGGCTTATGAGAAATCTGATGCTGAAAGTTTATTCTTGTCCTCCTTAAGCAGTTTTTCAAAGTAATTGTTTTTCAATTTTAAGTTACTTCTGGTTAACATATTATTTTCCATTGTTAATTGATTTGTGATGAAAGGATGTGCCTTAGCTATTTTATAACTTGATGAAGGTCTGATTTTTTTTAAATGCTTCTCAGACTTTAATGTGCATATAAATCCTCCTAAGATCTTGTAAAAATGCAAATTCCGATTCTGGAAATCTGGAGTCATTGAGGATGCTGCCTACCTGTCAAGACCCCAGAGGAGGTGCAGGCTGCTAGTCATAGAGTCTATAAGTTGAGCAGCCAGAATGCAGAATATGAACATTTTTTAAATAGTTCAGTGATGTTTGTAAAGAAGATGTAATGTTTTAATTTTGTTCATAATGAACAGAATTAAATATATATGTACTTACTGTACATATATTCTAAATACGATCTTTGAGGGACATTACATTCATTAAAAGCAAAGACTTTGTTGGGCGTGGTGGCTTATGCCTGTAATCCCAGCATTTTGGGAGGCCGAGGCGGGTGGATCACCTCAGATCAGGAGTTTGAGACCAGCCTGGCCAAAATGGCGAAACCCTGTCTCTACTAAAAATACAAACATTAGCCAGGCATGGTGGTACATGCCTGTAATCCCAGCTACTCGTGAGGCTGAGGCAGGAGAATCGCTTGAACTCAGGAGGCAGAGGTTGCAGTGAGCCAAGACTGTACCATTGCACTCTTGCCTGGATGACAAGAGTGAAACTCTGTCTCAAAAGAAAAAAGCAAAGATTTTAGAGCCAGATGGCTTGCATTCAAAATTCACTGTAGTTACTTTCTACATGTGACCACATGGAAAAGCAACTAATCTGCCTCACAGAGTACAATCATTATAAAAAATTAATATCTGTAAAGATAAGTATTTTGTTTTAATTATATTGTTTGTATTTTTCCAAGCATTTACAAAAAAAAAGCATTTTTGCTCTATATATTTAAGTGTTCTTTAATTTGGTGCAGAAGAATTCACGATGTATTTATTCTGTATTCTTTATTATGCATTATGTTTATTATATATTTTATATCTTTAATACCAATAAACATCTACTATATTACAAGTACTATTATGATTCATGGTTCATTTTGTTTGAGTTTGCCTACTTTGAATATTTCCATGCCATTTTATTTTATGTCTCTTATAAGCATCAGACAGTAGGACTTTAATCCCAAAGGCTTTAATTCAAGAGTCATTGCTTTGATCAAGTTTATTTATTAAACTGCTCTAAAGTAGAACCAGATGTAATCGTGGCAAAAGCTTAATAATATTATTAATAATATCAGTGACTGACACTTCATTATTTTTGAAAAAAGCCTTTTGGCTTATTTTGAGAAATAATTTAGAGGTAATTCAGTCTCACTTCCCACTCAATGTATAAGATTCCAAAATGGTTGTCAATTAACTTTCATCACCAAATAATTTGCATCCACATGCCCCTCCCCATTCCATCTGCTGAAGTATTCATTATTCTGAATTTTAGGTTTGCTTTTATGTTGCCAAGTTTAGTATACATTTATATGTATTGTGCTTGGAAAATAAACTGATTAATTGTAATGGTTTTGAATATTAACCATAATGGTATTATACTGTATCTACTCTTTATGTTGCTATTTTTGTTCAATATTATTTCTGAATTAATATTTCTAGACTTCATCCACTCTGTTGTCTACAGCTATAGTTTATTCATTATTACCGTTGAAGATATTTCAATGTGTTTACTACCACAGTTTGTTTATTTATTCTGTTGATAGATATTTGAGTTTTTTCCAATCTTTTGCTATTATGAACAGCGAGTGGTGCTAAGAAGATTCATGTCAAATCTCCTGAAACACATGTGCTTGGGTTTGGTGAATGTTTGACTTCAAAAGATACTTTACATTGTTTTCCAAGGTAGTTACACTAGCAAATATTCCCATCAGCAACATATTAGTGTTTTACTCAGACTCCTTGATTTTGCCAATATATAGGTACAAAATATAGGTACAAAATGATGTCCCTTTGTACTCTTCATCAGCATTTACATGATCACCACCAAAGCTAAAATGAATGTTTCACATATTAAATAGTAATGTACTTCCTTTGCTCTAAAATTTCTGTTTATGCCTTTTCTATTTATTAATCAGATATATTTATCTTGCATTTTTATTGGTAAGAGTTCCTTACATATGTTTAATTCCAGCTTTGGTCTGTTACATGGGTTACAAATATCTTCTTTTACTTTCTGGCTTATCTCTTTAGCTTTTAAATAATGCCTTAATGGAGAGACATGCTTAATTTTTTAAGATTGAATTTCTGAGGACTCATCAATTCCATCAATGTGTCCCTTAAACTTGAGCCTGGAGCAGGCAGTTCTTCCTTAGCACCTGTTCAAATGCTTGGAGAACAGCCTTTGCCAGAAAATAGTTTATCTCGGGGTTTCCTCAGTTTGACAGTAACTCCTTCAGAATGAAAATTTGTAATTTCCTCATTTATAATATTGTAATAAACATAAATCATTTCGTACAAGTTTGCTTCGAGAATCAAATGAGTAATTGGCTGTAACATATTTTGTCGGTTTGCTTTACTAAGTTATATTAAAATGTTACATCATATTTATAATATACCGCTCTAATGACTCCCAGTTGGTCTAACCAGCGTTCAGGTACACAGATACTGTAGCGTTTATGCTCTGGCTATTACATCATGATGAAACCACTTAAATGCTTTCATTAAACTATCCTAAGCACAGTCTATGTTAAGTTTCTGCCCATGTAATCCAAGCCTTCCCCACAACACCCCAAAACAGAACACTGCTGTAGTATGCTTTCTTTTTTAAAAAGTGGAGGAAAATAAGAAACATGTTGGGAAAAGTAAGTCCCAGGGTGCCAGAGAAATCTCGGGCGTTGGTCTGCATTGCAAGCATTTCTGCATAGATGCTCCCTCAACACTAGTGATAGCTTTACTCTGAGAAAGTCACATTCGGGTCGGGCGCGGAGGCTCACGCCTGTAATCCCAGCACTTTGGGAGGCCGAGGCGGGTGGATCACGAGGTCAAGAGATCGAGACCATCCTGGTCAACATGGTGAAACTCCGTCTCTACTAAAATTACAAAAAAATTAGCTGGGCATGGTGGCGCGTGCCCATAATCCCAGCTACTCAGGAGGCTGAGGCAGGAGAATTGCCTGAACCCAGGAGGCAGAGGCTGCAGTGAGCCGAGATCGCGCCATTGCACTCCAGCCTGGGTAACAAGAGCGAAACAACTCCGTCTCAAAAAAAAAAAAAAAAAAAAAAAAGTCACATTTATTCTCTTGTGATCTACAGCCCATGCTTGAGTGTGGTTTCTCAGGTAGAAGCCTGTTGGGTAGAAACACGGGCACACTTGGAAACTTAAAACAAAGCCACACTAACTGGCCCCTGTGGTAACTGAAAGCACAACCTTGGCCTTTTTTACCAGACTTAATCAACTGAGTTGGGGAAATTTCCTCTGATACAGGGAAGAGGGATAACAAGGTGGGGGTGGCCTGAGTACACCAAGCCAACTCCCTGGGCAGAGCTGGCTTTTTCAGAACACCTCTGCATGAATGGGCACAGTGGCATGACACTCCCAACAGGAACTGTATATTCAGAAACCCTTTTGAGATTTCTCCCTGTTCTCCTTCCCTTGTCATTCATTATTTTATTTCCTTTAGGTTTGATTAAATAGCCTGCTCTGTTACCAGAACAAAATTAATGATTCAAGTGTACAAGGAACCAAATTAATCTCTCTTGACCTTTCTAATATGAAGTGTAAGCTTTTGTGGCTGTAAAAAAGAGAACTTTGTACAAACCGAGGTTAAGCATGATTAAAGAATGCCTGTGTAACATGAAAATATTCTGCACATTATTTTCCTGGTGAGAGGTTTTACAATACCAGAAAACATTGCTATGATATTTTTGTTTTAAAAAAATAATTATCTTAAAGGTAATGTTGGAATCCTTAAGGTTTGGGAGAGGGAGAATTTTAGAAAAAAAAATACAAGTACATGCCTAAAATGGAAGTTAATATTTTACTGTTAGTTCCTTGTCATGTCTAGATTTTCACCACAGGAGAAATACTATGAGCCATAGGAGCTACAGGTTTTACATACTTGGTTAATTAGCAATTCTTACCAAACCGAGTGTATCATTTCTCTTTAGAATCCTACATGGCCTTGATTAGACATATTTACGGGAAAAGTCAATGGATAAGACATTAGAGGCCAACCTCAAAGTCAGAATAGAGCAACCGTAGACCTGAGAGAAGTGCTTTATTAGCCAAGAATTGGTTGGTTATTGATCCTGGTCTGTGTCTCTGGTCACAATAGCACTTACCCTAATTTTTCTAGTGTAAATATAAGTAAATTTGAATGGGTGTTGCTGAAAACAATCTGTAAATCTACTTTTTGTGGTTTTGGTTGTAATTGTAGTTACTGGAAGGTTCAATATCTGGGGCATGTGGAGGAGACAAGGCTGTGGCCTGGTACTCTGCTCTCTGCAAATACCTCCTGAAGCACTTTCTCAAGGGCTATTAAAGTGACTCTGACTCTCTCTGCTCAGAAGCACAGAAACCACATGGGTACTCAGCCGAAAGGAAACTGGGGCTGGACTGAGTATTGTCAGAAGATATGTTGTGCATTTAACTTAGACTCATTTTCCCCCTGAGGTCAACCAAGCAATTAAGGAAGAAAGATATGAACAGTTCCCCTGCTTTCTTGAAGGTAAACAATAATAAATTCACATTGGTTGCAATACTGTCTTTCCCCGGCCTTTCAGTCTTCTTTTCTTTTCCTTTGTTTGCCCCACCCCCATCTTAGATTTGATTTTAGAGGCTTTCTAACAAACACCATATTCTCATCATAACCTAAATTCTAGTTGTACTGGGAAACACCTCCCCTTAACAGAAGATGCTACAGGGTTAATGAGGGTTAATGGGTATTGTATTTCACCTGGATATTGCCAAGAAAATTTTAGCTGAGATGAAGTGTTGGTGGGAAATGGCTTCAGTCATGATGAAACAAGCACAAATAAAGCATTGAAGAAATCACACTATTGGAAGACCATGAAACAGGAATTTTCTGAGTTTGAATTACTAGTGCTGAGGTGTCATTTTAATTTTTTCCAAAGAATTCTGTGCCCTTAACTTCCATTGAGACATTACATATAAATTGTTTTGGCAAAAGAAAAATAATATTAATTAGACATGTGAAAAAAATGATGTGAATTAAATTGTCTGAACAATACCTGCACACACACACACACACACACACCGCACACACACACCAAATCATAACAGAATATTCAGAAGAAGCAATGAGTGATGGAGGTGCTTCTTCTAGATTTTATACAACATCCAGTGATCTGCTTTCTGGTTGGAGAATGGTTGCCTACTTGTGTTAAGTAAGTAATTTGTGCCTCCTGGGGGTGGTGGGGGGGGCAATCTATTTAACTCCAAGCAATGGTCTCTTCTAGTGGGCACTTCTGTTTTATAGCTGATGTCTCTAGCTTCAACTCCTCCCCATCTCTTAGTCCCAGCCACAAAGAATGGATAACATTTTCCAAAACTTATATTTTCAGTTTGTATTTCAGTGCCTTGCTACATGCTGTAGCATTGACACCTTTTTCTCTACCTGGCAATTCTTCATACTCTGGAGACTCTCACCAAGTGTTACCCTCTCTGGAAAGCAAGATACCTCCCAACTCATTCTGTATTCATGGAGAAATATATGCTGAATTCTAACAGTATAACAGCATCTCAATTATTCCTGCAAAACTGTGAGCTCTCTGGAAAGATAGAGTGTGCGTTAGTCTCTCTGTAGAAAGCAACTATCACACTGTTTGTGATGCCATTGCTATACTCAGTAAGTATTGACTGATGAGTGAATGCATGATGAATAAATAAATGAGTATACCAGAATCTCTTGGTAAGCCTAGGCAAGCCCATCAAAGTAAGGCAGAATTTAAAACCAAAATTCATGCTTAAGGGTTAGGTAAGTGACCAAGATCAAAGTAACCTGGAGTGGCATTTATGTTGCCTGAGCAAATTGGTATATATGTCCAATGTTGCCAGGCCTTCTACTTTTCAAGATAAACCAGAAATTTGGCTTTGTGTGCTGAACCAACCATCTTTTTAATTTTGGTAATTTACTGTATTTCTTGTGATCTACACTGTCCTAAATAAAATTATTCACCAGAAAATTCTACATTATGAGACAGTTACTTCTGTCAAGACCTTTATAATGGCATTAATCTACTCATGAGAGCAGAGCCTTCATGCCCCAAATATCTTCCCAAAGGCCTCACCTCCCAATACCATTGCATTGAGGATTACGTTTCCAGCAGATGAATTTTTAAGGAACACATTCAGACCATGGCAGTAAGTTTAGCAGTCACAAGATACAGACTCATTGCAAAAATAAATTGTATTTCTACATTCTAGTAGCCCAAAACTGAAAATTAAAATAAAAAATGTCACTTCTAGTATCATCAAAAATAGGAAACTATATATAAGGATAAATCTGGGGGAGAAAGAGATACCTGGCTGGGAATGGTGGCTTATGCCTGTAAGCCCAGCATTTTAGAAGGTCAAGGCAGGCAGAGCTTGAGCTCACGAGTTTGAGACCAGCCTGGGCAATATGGCAAAACCCCATCTCTACAAAAAATATGCAAAAATTAGCTGGGCATAGTACTGTGGGCCTGTTGTCCCTGCTACTTGGGAGGCTGAGGTGGGAGAATGACTTGAGCCCAGTAGATGGAGGTTGCAGTGAGCCAAGATCACACCAATGCACTCCAGCCTGGGCAACAGAGCCAGAACTTGTCTCAAAAAAGAGAGAGAAGAGAGAGACAGAGAGACACAGAGAGGGAATGAGAGAGAGAGAAAGAGAGAGAGAGAGAGAGAGAGAGAGAGAGAGAAGGCCTATATATTGAAACTAACAATATATTGCTGAGAAACTAGAGAAGTAAAATATTTCACTATTTCATAATGAAAAAACCCATATATTACAATATGATTTATGTAAACCATACAATTCACCCACTGACAAAGTACGATTAAATGGCTTTAGTATATTCACAGAGTTGTGCAACCATCACCACAACCTAACAGACTATTTTCATTGCACACCAAAGTAATCCTGACTCATTAGCAATCACTCTCTTTTTGCAATTCATGTATCTAATAAAGAACTTGTACCAACAATATATAAAGAACTCTTAAGATACTGTAATATGCAAACAAATAACCCAACAGAAATGGGCAAATGATTTGACAGACACTTCATTGAAGGAGACAAACAGATGACTCATAAGCAAATGAAAAAATGCTCAGCAAAATTAGTCATTAGGAGTATCCAAATTAAAACTATCATGAGATACCACTCTATACCTATTAGAACGGGTACAATTAATAAGTCCCATATACCAAAGGTTGGCAAAGATTGAGAGAAACTAGAATTCTACTACACTGCTGGTAACAAAATCAATGGATACAACCACAGTGGAAAACAACTGGGCAGTTTCATAAAAAGTTAGACATAAACCTGTCATATGATCCAGCCATTCTACTTCTAGGTACTTGTCCAAGAGAAACAAGAACATATGTTCATACAAAGATTTATTCATGAACGTCCATAGAAGCTTTTTTGCAATAACCAAAAACTAGAAACATCCCAAATGTTCATCAACAGATGAGTACATCAACAAGTTGTGGTACACAATACAGTGGAATGCCACTCACAATATAAGTTATGAATTATTGACATGCAACTACAGGGTTATCAAAATAATTACGTTAAGAAAAAGAAGCTTGGCCAAAAAAATAGTACATGTGGTATAATTTCAGTTAGATAAAAGTCTACAAAAGGAAAATGAATGTGTAGTGACAGAGAACAGGTCAGTGGTTGTACGGAGGCAGGAGCGAAGGATTACAGGGGTAAGAAGAGACTTGCAGATAATAGATTGGTTTATTATCTTGATTGCTATAATGGTTCCATGGCTGTGTAAATACATCAAAATGTATCAAATTGCACATTCTAAATATATCCAGGTGATTGTGTGTTAATTATACCTCAGCAAATCTATTAAGTGAGATATGGAGAAGACTCCATCTGCTGGGTTGGCCTGCAGTGCTGAAAAGTTAGCAGAGCAAGGTCATTCCTGGTTCCAGAAAAGATGACTTTCCAAGCAGTTTCTCCATGCAAGGACTTAGGCCTTGGAAAACTGAGTGCATCTAAGTTACTGGGTCTGGGTACGAGGAAAAGGCAGGCAATCACCTCGTTACTAGCACCAACACACAAGGTCAGAGTCCCCATTGCTGGACTACTGAACCAAAGCTTCTAGAGTTTCTCATGAGAACAGGATTGTTCTGATAGCTAAGGGTAGACCGAATCCTAAGAAGAGATATCAAGGGTCCTTGTCACGTGTGGGATGAGGCTGAAGAAGCAGAGCCCCGGCCTTCCAGCCCAGTTATCAGTCCCCTACACTGGAACACACTTGAGCTTCAAAATGCCTCATTGCAGTTCACCTGTTCTATAAAGTCTCCCTGCAAGGTTCTAAGGGTTTCCTTCTCTTCTGCCTTTTTTAAGAACTTCACCTAAGCTGTCTTAGACCCATTTTGGCAATTTCATTTTTAACATAATCTATAGTCCTTTCACATATTTTACATGTTGAAGAAATGTTTCCATCATGCAAAGGTGCTATGCTAAGTTCTAGAGAGGCAGAAATGCTCTGGAAGCTATTAAAGAGACATCTGCTTGCTTCAGAGAGGTGAGGAGTCTTCTCAGAATAAAAAAAACATAGGGTGATGACCAATGTATGTACCTAAGCCACTCCACCCCCTCTGCTATAATTGCTCACTCTCACTTCTACCCTTATACACCTTTTTGCTGATCTATCTCAGTGTCTCAGGTCTTTTGTCTCCTTTCCAATAAGTTCACACTTGACCCCATTCACTGGCTTTACTAGCCTTGCTACATGTACTGGTGAACTGGATCTTCTAATACACACACACACACACACACACACACACACACACGCCTGTAGTCATTATGTCCATGTGGTTAAAAATCAGTCTGTGGCTGGGCGCAGTGGCTCAAGCCTGTAATCCCAGCATTTTGGGAGGCCGAGGGGGGTGGATCATCAGGTCAAGAGATCGAGACCATCCGGGTCAACATGGTGAAACCCCGTCTCTACTAAAAATCAAAAAATTAGCTGGGCATAGTGGCACGTGCCTGTAATCCCAGCTACTCAGGAGGCTGAGGCAGGAGAATTGCCTGAATCCAGGAGGTGGAGGTTGCAGTAAGCCAAGATCGCGCCATTGTACTCCAGCCTGGGTAACAAGAGCGAAACTTCATCTCAAAAAAAAAAAAAAAAAAGTTTGTAAAATTGCTCACTTATTGCACCTGCTATAGTTGAACAGTAAGATTCTTTACTGGCAAAGGTCATATCTTCTATGCTTATTTGCCCCTGAAGAGCTCTGTTCGCATAAATGAGGTCATCTGGAGGGAGGCAGATTTAATGACACCATCTTGGTTTAGATAACCGTCCGCTTAAATAGAGCCCAAGCCTTCTAGAATGGACAATTCACCTCTTGTGTAGCACAACTATAGTTTAATTAGAAACCATTAAACTTTTGCAGCTCACTGTAAAAAGAGATTCTAAAAAATAATAATAATAAGTAGTCGGACAAACTTATAAATGTACCCACATAAAGTTGATTGCCACATGGTTCAAAGTGGCAAAAATAACTAAAGCAACTTAAAGGTCCATCCACAGGAGAATTATTAAGTCAATTGTGTCATACTCATCCCTGGTGTATCATACAGATATTAAAGAGATGAGGTCTAGGGAATGATCCCTGCAGTACACAGAAAACTGAAAAGAAAATTATACATATGGGCTAATCTCACTTTTGAACACACAGAGTATGTGTGTACATGTACACCCACTTGATTTTGGTATCTCTGGGTGGTGGGATTATAGGTGTTCTTTATTTTCTTTTATATACATATTTTATTCTTTTTGAATTTCTTGCAAAGAGCAGGCATTACTTTCATAATCGGAAATTATTTTTTCCACTTGGGCAAATTCACATCTCACCACTGGCCTTGGCTGTAGGCCAGGAAGTCCATTCTCAGGATGTGGGGAGAGGGAATGGATTTTTCTTGTGTAGCTGATGGTTCTGACCCTTGACCCCCTCTTTGATTAACACTGAGACCAGCTGACTAATTTAACATGTGCCATTTCATACAGACGGTTAGAGCAGCCTTTTAAACAATTCTTAAAGATGATCATGTTTACCAAAAAATATCAATTTCCAAAATGTGCCTTGGCCCGTACTTATTAAAAACTTCTTCCTCAGAGCTCACATGGTCTAAAGTAAATCCAGATTTTAAAATCCCTAATGAAAGTTAATTGTATTGTATATAATATACAATATACGATTATATGATGTATGGAAACAACCTAAACTGTGGCTATGTTAGTTTCCTAGGGTTGTCATAACAAATTCCCACAAGCTAGATGAGTTTTTAAAACCAGATTTTGGCACCGGGCATGGTGGCTTACGCCTGTAATCCCAACACTTTGGGAGACTGAGGTGGGCGGATCACCTGAAATGGGAAGTTCAAGACCTGACCAACATGGAGAAACCCAGTCTCCACTGAAAAAACAAATACAAAATTAGGCAGGTACTCCAGAGGCTGAGGCAGGAGAATGGCTTAAACCCAGGAGGCAGAAGTTGAGGTGAGCCAAGTTCGCATCATCGTAAGCCAGCCTAAGCAACAAGAGAGAAACTCCGTCACAAAAAAAAAAAAAAAAAAAAAGACAGATTTTGACCAGGCATGGGGGCCAATGCCTGTAATCAGAACAATTTGGTATGCTAAGGCAGGAGGATCACTTGGGGCCAGGAATTTGAGAGCAACCTGGGCAACAAAGTGAGACTTCATCTCTACCAAAAAAAAAAAAAAAAAAAATCGTAGAAAAAAAATGAGTCCAGGCATGGTGGCTCACACCTATAATCCCAGCACTTTGGGATGCTAAGGTTGGCAGATCACCTGAGGTCAGAAGTCTGAGACCAGTTTGGAAAACATGGCAAAACCTCGTTTCTACTAAAAATACAAAAATTAGCCAGGCATAGTGGTATGCCCCTGTAATCCCAGCTATGTGGGAGGCTGGGGCAGGAAAATTGCTGGAACCCAGGAGGTGGAGATTGCCGTGAGCTGGGATTATGCCACTGCACTCTAGCATGGGTGGCAGAGTGAGACTCTGTCTCGAGAAAAAAAAAAAAAAGTAGACATAGTGACGTGTGCCCATAGTCCCAGCTCCTCAGGAGGCCAAAGGGGCAGGATCTCTTGAGTCCAAGATTTCGAGGCTGCTGTGAGCTATGACTACATTACAACACTCTAGCCTGGGCAACAGAGTAAGACACTGTCTCTTAAAAAAATCATAATAAAATAGAATGAAAACCAGAAATTTAGAGTGTTAGGTGGGTTGGTTCCTCTTGAGAGTTCTGAGGGAGGATAATCTGTTCCCTTCCTCTCTCCTGTCAATTCTCGGTGTTCCTCAACTTGGAGAAGCCTCACTGGAGCCCCTACCTCCATCTTTACATGGTATCCTCTGTGTGTGTCCTTACATGGTCCTTTGCTTATAAGGACAGGTGTCGTATTGGATTAGATGCCTACGCTATTCCAGTATGATGTCATCTTAACTAATTACATCTGCTGTGACACTATCTCCAAATAATACCACATTTTGAGGAAGACAGCATAATTATTTTTAAAGGGGCTGGGAAGCGCAATTTAATCCAGAAAATTTGCCTAGAAGGATGTGTAGCATTAAATGCCCAAAGAGGCCCTGTAAACACCTGGCAATACCAATTCCAGTCCCTCTGTTCACGTCTGCCGCACTAGATTTGATGAAGCACGCCAGCCATGCACAGTTGGAACTTCGCAGGTTTGAACATATCCAGGTTCTGTTATCATCTCATCTCTTTACCCCAGGCAACACCCACATCACAACAATTTACTACCCTTCCTTTATCTCATTTATGCTTGAGAGGCCAGGAAGGAGCTCCTGGCTGGGCTTATCTTATTTGGGAAAGAGTCAGAGAGGCACTCAGGTTCACACCAAGCAACCGCTGGCCTGCATCACAGCTCCCCACTGTCCTCTGGCCTCCAGTCTCTCCTTCCTTGAATCCATGGTATTCATTTTCTGAGTCAAACCAGCTCACAGAGCTATCAACACTCTAAACCTCCTCGTTCTGTGCATTGCATAAGAGTTAAGCCAGTGTACTCAGAGGGTCCTTTCTGCTCTCCTCTTTGATCCTCGTCCTCTGAGCCACTACATGGATGCTGTCCAGCAGTCAACAAAGCCACTCACTGCTTTTCCTTAAACACACACACACACACACACACACACACACACAGGCACATGCATGCAAACATGCGCATGTGTAAAGACGTGCACATACACACGCATGAGCGTGCACACACACAGGCACATGCATGCAAACACATTCACATGCGTACAGACATGTGCACATACACATGCGCAAGTGTACACACAGGCACATGCATGCAACCATGTGCATGCGTAGACATGTGCACATACACACACGAGTGTGTGCAGACCCACAGGTACATGCATGCAAACACATGACCATGCATACAGATGTGCACATATACACGCATGAGTGTGCACACACACACAGGCACATGCATGCAAACACATGCGCATGTGTACAGACGTGCACATACACACACATGAGCGCATGCACACACACACTCACACAGTGTGTTTCCTGCTGCATTATCCTTGCTCTTCTCACCACCTGGGATGCTGTGCCAGCCCTCCCAACAGGATTAAATCCCATCTACTCAAAATTCTGCTCACATACGCTCTCCTCCAAGGAGCCCTGCCTGCTGCCGTGAACTGAATGTCATTTCTCTTTTTCCTGTTTTATCCACACCTAACCTACAGAAATTCTCATCTACTTTGTTGATGTCTTTTGATATTCCTGCTCATCTACCAGCGTACTTCTCCTCCAAGGCAGATCCACCCATGCTTGCCTAAGTGAGCAAAAGCACTCACTGGCTCCCTGAGCCTGCAGAGGTGGAAGAGAGTAATGGTAGGAGCATAGGGGCTAGATGCAAACTGCCTAAATGTGAATTCTGGCTCTGCTGTGGTGTCATCAGAGGAGTGTGGCTCCGGGTTAAAATCCCACCTGTGATTTCTCAGGCCTGAACGTAGACTATGATGAAGGCTTTGCCTCACCAGCTTGGTACACAGCCAACAGACGGCAATCTCTGAAGGGAGTTGGAGTCCAGGCTTCAGAACCACCTGTCCGGTCAGGCTCTTGCACAAATTTGCATTCTTAACTCCTGCTCCTGCATTCCCAGGTCACTTTATCTGAGGCCTTTTGGGGGAGGTCTTCATTAGGCACCTCTGCAGAGGCCTCTTTGTGGTGGAGCGGAGGAAGCCTTGAAGATCCTTTCCCCACTCTACTCTAGTACTTTTCCACTCCTAGACCTTCCTTCTTGTTCTCTCCCTACCACAACCTCAGGGTCCACAAAACTCCTAGAGCCTTTTGTTAAGGGCTCCCTCCACCTGTGAGATGACCCCACATCTGTGTTGATCCACCTGACCGATGTGCCATTCCATGGGGAAAAATGTAACGGGGGAGTCGGTGCTTTTCTGGCCTTAGCCTCTTGTTCGCACTATCACAGTAAATGATTAAAGGCTTCACTCATTCATGGGTTGTTGCTTTAATTGGCTACTCCAACACCTGGCAGCTCAGCACGCTCTCTCTCTCTCTCTCTCTCTCACTCTCTCTCAGCTCAGCTGACCTCCTGACTAAACCAGGGTATAACAGAACCTAACTTCTAGGAATATTGCAATAGCCAAATAAGACAATTCATGTAGCATTTGATTTTAATTGTGATTAAAAAATATGTAACCTGAGGTCTACACTTTTTCTTTTTTTTTTTGAGATGGGGTCTTACTCTGTTACCCAGGCTGGAGTGCAGTGGCTCCATTTGGGCTAACTGCAACCTCTGCCTCCCAGTTCAAGCAATTCTCCTGCCTCAGCCTGCAGGGTAGCTGGGATTACAGTCACGTGCCACAACATGCAGCTAATTTAAAAAATATATATTTCTGGTAGAGACGGGGTTTTACCAAGTTGGCCAGGCTGGTCTCAAACTTCTGCACTCAAGTGATCTGCCCACCTTGACCTCCCAAAGTGCTGAGATTACAGGCACAAGCTACTGCACCCAGTGTATACACTTAAATTTTTAAGGACTCAGTGCAGTATCGTTCCCTACTAGCATGAGGTCAAGGAGTGGATCTGCAGAACTATTTCATCTGGCATGGCCAAAACTCTAGGGATAGGGGAAGTGGCAAATGGAAACCTGGTACATGGTCTTTCTCAGTAAATGCTTACATTTATTGTTATTATTGCTATTGCCTACATTTTTGCTGTGACCGTCTTCAAGCCCTGAAGCACAGCATATAAGGCCTTACATGAGTGTGCCCCATTTCAAATAACACTTCATTTTGCATTCTGCTGAATGGGAGAACATTAAATGCTATAATTCCACTACCTGCCTCAAACATTGTCGTCAGCCATAGCAAAATATTTTAAATTCCCGCTAAATAGATCATTTGTCTTCCTCTCTCCTTCTTCATTAAATTGATGTCTCTCCCATTTGCCTGACATTTTCTCCTTTATCCCTCATGGCCCTGCTCAGAAGCCACTTTCTCGGTGAAGACTTGCTAATTTCTACAACTCCTTATCTCTCCCTTCTTTCTGATATTTCCTTTCGTCAAATGTCTTTATTTATACACATATTTTGTTCAATTACATTTGCTTAATTCTATTCCTTTTTCACTTCCTAGAAGGAACCACATCTTTTAAATGTTTGTATTTCTAATCAATCATTCACCATTGGTTGGACAGCTGACATACAGCTGCTACTGGGATGGTAAGACTCGTGTCTGATTCTAGGGGTCCCACCAAGTACCTAGTATAATGCCTGGAACATAACTGCCATTAGGAAAATGTCTAGAAACTACACACACAAATGAAAGGGGATCCCCCAAACATAAACATCAATTTAAACAAGATCAGAGGTTCATAAAAATCCCATCAAATGCAAGAAAAAAAAATAGCAGTAGAAGAAAATCACACCAACAAATTTTAAACAAGATATGATTTTTTTAGTCTCGAAGAAGGTCACAGTGATAACACAGGCAATAGCAATAATAACAATACTTTTTTTTGAGATGGTACCCTGCTCTTTTGCCAGGCTGGAGTGCAGTGGCGCTATCTCAGCTCATGCAACCTCTGCTTCCTGGGTTCAATCGATTCTCCTGCCTCAGCCTTCCGAGTAGCTGAGACTACAGTCACACACCACCATGCCCAGCTAATTTTTGTATTTGTAGCAGAGATGGGGTTTCACCATGTTGGTCAGGATGGCCTGGATCCCTTGACCTTGTGATCTGCCTGCCTTGGCCTCCCAAAGTGCTGAGATTACAAGCATGAGAAAATGCGCCTGGCCAACAATAAATTTTTGTATCTTTTTAAGATGTTTAAGTTGAAGGGAATATGTATCGTTGGTTTTTTCATTGTGAGCATATTTCATGTTGCTTTGGTCTTCTTTTATCACAAGACAAACATCGAACAACAACTGAGCAACTGAAATCCTTTCAAATGATCAATTATCACAAAATACTTGGGAATACTATTCATGTGGATTCTTGGTGGCAGTATGTGTGTGCATACAAGCATGTGTGTGCAAGTGTGTACACTTTTGTGGATTTGTGTTTTTTAAAAACTGTAACTTTAAAAGATTGGGGTTTAATATCCTTTGAGAGTTCCCTAATTAGGCTCTGCTCCTCTTCTTAGATGAGTTTAGTACCCAAGTAAATGAACTAATTAGTAGTCTGCTGTTGAATGGAGCTACAATGTTGTATAAAATCCCTGGTCATCACTGGGAGTTCCCGCGTAGGACAGCAATTAAATAGTTCAGGAAAAATAAAACCTGTTCTCTATTCCCTCGCCTTATTCCATGACAAGAGTGTTTGCATGTGCTGTGCTCAGTTCCCAAATGGGCTTGGGCAGGAGGCCTTGGGTGATGGGCAGCCAGCAACCCAAATCTGGACAATAAAACCAGTGCAGTGATGAAAAGACAAAGGCAACTCCCAGAAGAACAGTGATCTCTTGAATGACCCAAGTAGTCTCTGCAAGCCTTTGAATTTTACCTTGATGTTTAAATGAAGGCAAGGAGAGAAAGGAGGGGCTAATTCTATTGATTGGTGTGACTCAGAAATCTAGCATAAAAGTAACCTAGTGATACGCAGAGCATGTGACATAAAACAAACCTAGTCCCCTGTGACTAAAGCATGCTCTGACCTTCTTTTGTCCCCACGGATTCTTGTAACACCACAAGCTAGAGTTTAGTTGAGGATTCATTTATGAATAAGCAAATATATCAAATATTACATGAATTATATTTAGTCTGTTCCGAAATGGACACATTTTGACAAGAGAAAATGAATTAATAATTAGTTTTTTTGTACTGGATTTGTAGATGAATCTTGAGAATAATTTCTTTTATATATATATAAAAGATCTTGAGAATGATTTCATATATATACATATATACATACTATATACATATACATATATATATATATAAATTCTCGAATACATGTGCAGAACATGCAGGTGTGTTACATGGGTATACAAGTGCCATGGTGGTTTGCTGTACCCCTCAACCCATTATCTACATTACTTATTTCTCCTAATGTTATTCCTCCACTAGCTCCCCACCTCTCAACAGGCCCCAGTGTGTGATGATTTCTTAGACTGTAATTACATTTCACTCTTATCACAGTTCTCTGCTCCCCAACACACCCTGGACTCCCACTCACTGGGTCTCAGTTGCCTTCCATGGGAGTACATTGCTTTAGAATTGGAAGCAGCTGCCACTAGGAGCTGTGTCAATGGGGTCCCTCTGTGCCTCCAAGTGAGTGTCCAATACCCAAGGCTGTGTAGAGAATGGAGACCATTAAATGCTGTAATACATTTAAGGTCATTCACCAAGAGCATGTAGAACATAAAGGAAATCTATTTCAGGTTCCTTCTTCTCAGTGTAGCTTCTCCAAATCACCTCCCCTACTCAATATATCCTCAATCAACCTACAATCCCAGCCTCACCTACCTGTATCCAGAGCCCTGTTTCACTATAGCATCTCCTCTTCCAAGGCATTCATCTTTATAATTTTGAAGTGATAATCTCATCCCCAGCCTCCTGAGTCTTGGCAATTCACTGCTTACCAAAGCCACTGACTATAAAACAACTGACTACCAGTGTTTTTTTCCAATAAATGCTAAGGAAATGGAGGCCTTGGCCTCAGTGGCTACAGATCCCATAGGGAAGGAATAGGAGATGAGTGAGGTGCTGTCCTACTTGCACAGGAGAAGGAAACAGAGCTCAGGTCTTCATCAGGCCACCACTTCCTCTTCCTAACACATCTAGAGTGAAACATACCTATTAATACACACATTTACATCCCCATCTGTTCTGAGAAAGTCACTCCCATTCACTGAAGCCTCGTTCTGTTTTGGGAACTAACACCCTGAGTTACTTGATGAGGCATCTTAGAGCGATGGGACACCAGAGAAACCAGGCCAGCTCTCACCTCCTCCATCCCAGCTTCCACCTGCTCCTGAGAGCAGGAGGGAGAGCCTTTCACCCCACAGTATTTAGATCAGTAGCAAGTTACTGGTTCAGATTTCAATTAAAATGGAAGTATCTAGTAGAGGCTTCAAGTGTCTTCAAAGATATTATACTCAGATGCAATATTAAAAGGAAAAGAAATTTGTCTACAGACAACTGTCCTAACGAGGCCAATGCACTAGGAACTGCTGACACGTCTCAAGTTGAGAGAAGCTAATGGAAGGACTGTGTATTCTCTGAAGCATTATTTCTGTCACAAGAGCTGAACAAACCTTAAAACAAAGCCAGCAAACTCCCAAAAATATGGGCTAAGGGAGAAAATAAAAAGATAAAAATACAGGATATTCTGTTGAAATCGCGTTTTCAGTATGCTAAAATATTGCATGACGGATCTTAAAGGTTTCGTTACAAAGAGTCAGGGTAGTCAGTGCAGGTCTTGCAGGACAGGAGATCACCGCCGGCCCATGACTCTGTTGTCACTGCCCAGGACACTGCCAGGCAGGAGCGGGTCTCCACGATGGTTGTGGGACAAATTGATGAATGAAGCGCTGCCCTTACCACTCCCCACAAATGCCCCAGGGTAAGAGCTAGAATCCGGTATGTACCGATGAACAGCTAGTCATGATCCAAATGCTGAATCTCTGCCAACTCTTTCAATTCTTACGTCGAACTCATGGGATAGATTCCATATCATTTCTTTTTTACAGAAAGTTGAAGGATTTTGAATGTAGCCGAACAGGCCAAGAGAGGAAGGGCTGAGAGTTGGTACAGTCAGTTTTGCTGTGCATTTCACAACTTCATTTTATGACCTTGCAGAAATCAGGTTAAATTTTGAATGTGAAGAAGGCTTAGAATCAAACAGAAGCCTAAGAAAACAGGTGACCATAACATCATAATGTGATCAATCTATTTAACAAAATGTGTATGTGATTCCATTTTTTTCGAGAAAAATATTTTCTCATAGGAAATACCATGACAGCAATTTAGAGACTCTCAGCTGTCGTTGTTTAAGAAGAAAATACTTGGCCTGGTGTGGTGGCTCACACCTGTAATCCCATCACTTTGGGAGGCTGAGGCGGGAAATCATGAGGTCAGGAGTTCGAGACCAGCCTGGCCAATATGGTGAAACCCTGTCTCTACTAAACATATAAAAATTAGCTGGGTATAGTGGTTGGCATCTGTAATCCCAGCTACTCGTGAGGCTGAGGCAGGAGAATCACTTGAACCTCGGAGGTGGAGGTTGCAGGGAGCAGAGATCATGCCACTGCACTCCAGCCTGGGCAACAAAGTGAAACTCCCTCTCAAAAAGAAAAAAAAAAAAAAAAAAAGAAGGAAATACAATTTATTTTTTTAGTCGGAGTCCACTCTCTTTTTCTGGGATGGAGTTTAGTGATGAAAGCATGGCTCAGGGCAGTCTCAACTTCCTGGGCTCAAGGGGGTCTTCTCTCCTCAGCCTCTCAATAGCTGGGACCACAAGCATGCACCACTAGACCTGACAACATTTTTCATTTTTTCATAGAGGTAGAGTCTCACTATGTTGGCCGGGCTGGAAAAAAGGCAATCTTTAATAGTTTCCTATGGCCACAATGCCTTTCTAAGCCTCAATTTCCTCAATTATAAATGGAAATGAGAATGCCTACGCCTCAGTGGTTATCTGGAAGGACTGGCAATGGTACGTACAAAGCATCTGGAATTGTGCCTGGAACACAGGAGAGACCTCAAGTACCACTGTTAACTGATATGCGTAGCACAGACCTAGCAAAGATGCACTTCAGCCTTCACCAGGCTCTGCATGATGGTCCATATTATGTGTCTGTGGTCAAAGTAATGCATTTAGAGTTGGTTTTAAGGAGCTACCACCCATCTATTAACCCTTACAAATTCGTTTAATAATCCTGTTGGGTGAGGGCCTCTAGAGAACGGTCCCTGCCCCTTTGGTCTGGCAGCCTGACAGAAAGTGGTCTCCGGCATAATACCTACAATTATACACAGCTTCCCATCAGCGCAGCCCTTTAATAGCTCAAGTGAACAAAGCACCTTGTAAATAAGGTGGTGTTGGCATTTTCATGTTGGTTTCCTTTAAGTAAGAGCCTATGGTTTCGAAAATGGTTTCAAGTTAACCTCAGCATTCCGATATCCCGCTTAAGGATATCAGAATGCTGCCTTTTTGCCTTTCCTCAACATTCATTCATCCTTTGGGGAAGTCTCTACTTAGCCCCTGGGATGCGCTAGGCTTGGGGCTGCTCTTAAGGTACAGAGGGCAGTAAAAAGGGAATTCCCATCCTCATGTAGTCCACAGCCTGGTGGGGGAACACAGCGATTTGACATGAAGTGATGAGGAATTGTCCTGGGCAACATGAAAGAGGTACAGAAAGGTCAAGCCAAAGGGTAGGAGACCTAAGCTAGTCTGGATGGAAACGAAGGGGGCTTCTGAACGCCAGATTCCTCAACTACAAAGTGAAGAATGAGAAGGCCTCAGCTGGGTGAAGTGGCACAGCCAGGTGAGAGTTCAGGCCTAGTAACACCCCTGAGTGAGCATCCAGGAAAAAGGGTGAGCAGGGCACCTTCTAGGAAATGTAATCAGGGAGAAAAGCAGTCCGCCTGGACCATGAGGCACAGTGGGCAAGAAGCATGGGAAAAAGCGGTTAAAGTGGGCAGCACCCCATTTGGAGGACCCTCTAATCCATGTGAAATCTACGAGGACAGCAGCAAACACTAAAGTCAACATGAACTTCTTTCCTTTGATTCACTTGGGCTCCGGCAAATATCCCTGGGCTGCAGTTACAGTGAAACGACTTACACACTTGGATTTGTGTGAAGAAGAGCTGAACGATGACTGTGTTCCTTTATAAACCCTATGCATCCTTCAGGCCCAGCTTAAAACCTACCCCCACTATCAATCCACCCTTGATCAGCATAAAGTGGTTTCTCCATATTCAGCCTCCCAATATGTTTTGCTTTCATCACTTAATTATACCGGCTTGTTTAATTAGCTTCTCATACACCGGTGGCTTAAACCTCCCATTAGACAGAAGCCTTCTAAAGAATTATGATACTCTTTGAAACTTCTCTGTATCCCCCTCTGTACCTGGTATTACAATTATTCTCTTAGCCAAAAAATGTAATTCTAAACACAAGTAATACACCAAGGAATAAGACAGAAATGGCTTCTGGTCTTGGGGGTCTTAAGTTTTGTCAGCAATACAGGTCAGATAAAAAAATAATTTTAAAATATTACAATATGAATATATATGTATATATATGCATAAATATAATTTTAAATAATGCTAAGAACAATGATGAAATAAAGGGAATTGTGTTAGGAAGTACCTGGTTTGGGGCAGGCTACTTAATAGTTTATGGCAGAGAAAATTCAAATAGTTGATAAATTAAGGTAAGACATGGACGATAAGAAACACACCATGCAAACATTTGATATTAGGAGGTCTAGACACTTAAACACCAAATGCAAATCTCTAGGATGGAAGAGCAGGCCAAAGGGGCAGGGCAGGGAAAGCAAGGAGACATGAGAGCAGCAGGAAGCAGGAGATCACATAGAGACTTGTAGAACATAGGCAGAGTTGGGTTTTATTCTAGGTATAATTAGAAGTCTTTGAAAGGTTTTAGGTACCTAGAAGGTACTTGATTTTAAAACTTATTGATTGCTTGAATGGTTATGCACATTCAGCCTCAGGAAAAAAAAATGTTGAACAGAATAAAATTTACCAAAAATTATATTTTAATTTTGAGTTAAACACTCATACTGAAGGCATTAACAATTGTGGAAAGTGGTAGCAAAATAATAGAATTGGCACAACAACACTTTTCAGAATTGTCCCTTACAGCAGCTTTTATCTGTCAATATTACCTTCTTTCTACAAATGTGTCTTTCGTGTAAACAACATCTGCACGTTTGCATGATGAAACTGACATAAGAGCCTGCTGGAAAACCATTGATAATCCTTGTTTCTATCCTTGAGTGAATGTCACAAAAAATAAACTTCATGACTTCAAGTCTTTAAAGAGAAAGTTGGTTAATCAGAAAAACAGCAGCTGAGCTGGTAAGTACTTTTAAAAGGAAATCTTGTGTATGTAAGCACCTATTTTGCAAATGAAGCGTGGGAAGCCATGTATATAGAAGACAGAACTCTTAACTGGTGGTCATTAAACATCTTATGGGCAAAAGCGGTAATTAATTACCTCCATCTTAGCTTCAACAATTGCTTTGATTTGCATTTTAGCATGGAACAACTGAGTAAAATAGCCTAAAATATCAATAATAATATGAATCAACAGCGAAAAATAATAACAGCTGACATTTATGAGACTCCTACTCTGTGCCAAGCACCATAGTGAATATTTGGCAGGTATTTGCTCATTAAATTGTAAAAAAAAAATCCCTAGAGCTATTGCCAAGAATAAACCCATTTGAATGGATGAAGAAAATGAGGCTGAGAAAAATGAAGCAACTTACCCAGGGCCTCAAAGTTGATGAGTGTGACAGCCAGAGATACAGCCTCTCATTCTCAACCATTTCACTGTCGCCATCTGAGTGGCCTGGTTGAAGCATCTTGCTTGCAGCTAATAAAGACTTTTTGTCCATTGCTGTGTGATAAATATTACACACTTCAGGTTGGTTCTTGAGTGGTGCCACTGCCTATTTAACTTTAGCAAAGGACCACTTAATTTATTCAAAAAATATGCATTGTGTGTATGCTATGTCCCAAGCAGTGGGGCTACAACCATGGACAAAACCAACTAAGTTCCTGACTTCTAGACTTGCCATTCCAGTTGATTTTAGTTCAAGGGAAAGAGGGTACAAACGGGTAAGCATATATGTTAACATGTGCCTTATAGTGGTAAGTATAAGGAAATAAAATGGACTAAGGAAACAGAAAGTGATAAAATGGGACACAAAGCTTCTCTTTTTAAATGGTGTGATCCCGGATCACATTCTCTGACCACAACTCCCCAGAACAGCATATACAAATCAAAATGACACCCCCACATAGAGAAGGAAGAGAGACGTTTGTGCCGATGAGGGCGTTGTTGTACACAATCGGGAGAAATCCTTAGAGGCAGACTCTGAGTTTTCAAGTCTGCTGATTGTAACACAGGAGATATTTAACATTACAAGCAATTGCTTCACATTGCACATAGATTTCTCATGGGATTTTTTTTTTTTTGTATAGTAAGTCTACTTTTATGTGGTAAGTCATTTATAAAAATGCATTTTCCCCATAAGTCTCTAGGGAATACACCACATAATATGCTAAGCATATTTATGTGATGCATTTGTGACATAATAATGACATCAGCAAGAAGGAGGGGGTGATTATCTCAAATGACTTCATATCTAATTATCTCAAACTTGTGAGAAAAAGAGAACCCAAAAAACAAATAACAAAAAAGTATGCCAATATCAAATCACAAAAGCAAAAAAAAAAAAAGAGTGACTTGCTTGAAAACTTTCTTTTAAGGTACCAAAGCCCAGTTTGCTATCCTAATTCATTAAACGTGCCTATTCTGGAATCAATAGCAAAAGACCATGGGCTAATTTTTGATTGATAAATTTCTCATTAAAATTAATGTCAATCTAAGCTTCCAAACTGCACCTATTAATAAAGGTCTTAACTGATGTCATCTGTAGCCAATGCCTTTCTATGGGTATAATCAATTTGGTAGAGATCCTGTACTTTATTGACGTTTGGCTACACACGGGAGTTTTTTCTCCTCCTTCAGGGAGGGCCCATCTCTGTGCAGAAACCCAAAAGCAGACCTAAGGCATGAGGGCACTTGCCATTTAATTTAGAGTTCCTGTGACATGCCTAACATACAGCACCAACGTCAGACAATGCTGTTAGTGCACGGGTCCCAAGGGTCACCAGCTATGAAAAGCCAATTGCTGCACTTAAAAGCTAGGCTGTCAGAAAGCTTGGTGTTCTAGACGCCCTGGCTCCAGCTCCATCTACAAAACTTTAAGTGCCACTTGCTGAAAGTATGGAAAAACCATATCCTGTCTTTATCCATACAGGGTACCATTTATGTCCTTTACAATATCGCACAAGCGGAATACCTGGAACCAGGTAAAAAGCCAGTGTTCTACATTCAAATATTCCTGAGTCTTCAAAGAAAAGTGGTATACTTGATTCCTGAGGAAAATCAGATCCCACGCAACAGGAGCACACGAGTATTGACTCATCTGAACCCGAAGGAAAACGGCGCCTACTAAATGATTCTCGAAGAACACCCCTAAGGCTCACTGAATGCTGTTACTTTACACTTAACATTTCTGAGTGTATTAACTTGGAGAGTCTCAGTGCACAGGAAAAAAACAAATAAACAAACAAACCAGAAAGGTTTATTGGACAGCCGAAAGCCCAAAAGGAAAGAAAAAAATTCAATATCTGCTTTTTGCTATATTCAAACAAAATACGAAATGAAATTTACTCTAGCTGTAAAACTCTAAAATCATCAAAGAGCAGCCCAGTAGCTAAAGGAAACTCAATGAAGGCCCATGACCCCTCTGCAGGGATGGGTGATGCAAAATGTTTAGATTAAAACTGGTGCAGATAAATATCTCGAAGATCAGATTTTTATCTGAACGCTAAGCAGCCCTTTGGTCTTCAGAGGTGCTCTGCAGATGTCAAGAGAAAAGCAGCTCTTTTAAGGCTACAAAAGTATAGCACTTCTTTCCACGTTGCTATTAGACTTGCAACGCCAGAGCTGTAAGTCTTCTAGGAAATTTCCAGCTACGCTGTGAAACTTAAGCATGTGAAGAACACTTAAGGAGAATTGTTTTACTTTCACTCTCTCTATCAAAGGTAACTTTGTGAATGGGTTTCGAGAGAATGACCTGAGGGTGGAAAGGACTGTGTCCTCCTTTGCTTAATCTGAAAACAATGAGGCCAGGCATGGTGGCTGATGCCTGTAATCTCAGCCTTTTGGGAGTCTGAGGACCCTGGATCACAAGGTCAGGATATTGAGACCATCCTGGCTAACACCGTGAAACCCCATTTCTGCTAAAAAATACAGAAAATTGGGCAGGTGTGGTGGCGGGTGCCTGTAGTCCCAGCTACTTGGGAGACTGAGGCAGGAGAATCTCTTGAGCCCGGGAGGTAGAGTTTGCAACGAGCCGAGACTGCCCCACTGTACTCCAGCCTGGGCGACAGATTGAGACTCCATCTCAAAAAACGAAAAAGGAAAGAAATGGTATTTTCTCTTTCTGTCTGTCTCTCTTCCTTCCTCTCTCTCTCTTAATGTCTCTCTAACATTTCTAGAGAATCAGATAGTGTGAGACAACTAGCTGACCTTTCCTCAGTTCTCCATTACATTTTAAATGATTTTGTTGATTCTCTTTGTCGGAGCTTGGGTAAGGCCTAAGGAGAAGTTTCCAGAGAAGCTCGATGACTGTGGGGCTTACTTTCAGTTCTGAGTTTTTCTCAAGGGTGAGCGGCCTTCTTTACACCCATCAGAGACAGAAGGACAGTGTGTCCCATTAGGCTGACTCTGCTGTACAATCTACCGCTGTTTGCTTATTGATCCCCTAAAATTCAAGCTTGTGAAGCTTCAATTTGGGAAACTTCACTTTGGAGAATGTACTTACATTGTTTTTTTTTTAAGTACATAATTCTTGTTTATTATAAAAGCATTAAAGAAAAATTTGGAAAATAAAGAGAAGGGAAAGATCACCCCCAATTGCATAGTGCTTTATAATGAATAGCAAGAAAACATGTTTTTCTTTAGGTTTGGCTATTTTTCTTCATTCTGGCACATCCATTTGCATTTTCCTCTAAGCACAATGATGGTTATTTTCTAAAATTTTGTATGATTATAAGAAAATGATTTGGTGAAAGCTAAAAGAAATTCTACAGACCTGTAAATTGTTCTTTCTAAAATTGTTCTGTCAGGACGTCAGAAAGTTTAGTTACCTTTCTCCTCGCTGGTAACTCTCTGGGGAGTTCCCCAACAAACAGCGGGAAGCCTCTGCAACCTGCTCTACCCAGCTCCACCCGACATCCAACCTGCTTTTTTATTTTTATTATTTGGCACTGGCCAGCCTGTGACACACAGAGGTTCAAGTGTTGGTTTGTTGTCTACAATTGGGAGAAATCCAAGCACCGTGAATTTAAGCACCAGGAGCTTTCAGGTTTCTGGTTAAGGCTCAGATTCAAATTAACAATGGTTTCTAGATGCTGGAGACCCACACTTATCTTGTCCAGTAGCTCCCTGAAGCTAGAATCAGATCAGACATGCGCCCCCCTCCACCCAGATCTCCATGAATTGGCATGTGTTGTTCATTCTGTCACTTGTTCATGTATTCCACGGGCATTTTCTGCACAACTACCAGGTGCATGAAGATGTCCAAATGGAAGTAATTTTCCTGTTTTAAAGATGAGTGGCCAGCCCTGGTCCAGGGTGAAAGAAAGGCCAGACAGAAAGGTGTGGCATCAGAAGCCAAATTAAGGCCAGGCACAACAGCTCATGCCTATAATCCCACAACTTTAGGAGGCCTAGTTAGGTGGATCATGAGATCAGGAGATTGAGACCTTCCTGACCAACATGGTAAAACCCCATTTCTACTAAAAATACAAAATAATTAGCTTTGCATGGTGGCACATGCCTGTAGTCCCAGCTACTCAAGAGGCTGAGGCAGAAGAATCATTTGAACCCAGGAGGTGGAGGCTGCAGTGAGCCAAGATCATATCACTGCACTCCAGCCTGGAGATAGAGTGAGACTCTGTCTCAAAAAAAAAAAAAAAAAAAAAAAAAAAAAAAAAGAAGTCAAATAAGACAAAAGATGGTGAGGGGAACTGCAGCATTGGCAATGTTCAGCCATACCTGGGTCATCCCCTCCTTTCAAAATATGCTGGGTCCATGGAGCAAAGAGAGAAGGGGAAAAGAGGTGGGTTCCAGTTACCTGAGGCCATTCCCTGAAGGATCAGGCAAACTAGACAACAGCATCATCTCAGTCCATTGTCAGGCCTCCCCTTCAGGAAGCCCAGCCTAAACCTCCTTCTGTCATAATCAGTCATTGTCTCTTCTCCACTAGCCTTGAGTGCTCCACAGTCCCTCCCTGCCCCTCTCCCTCGCCTGCTCATTATCAGTGTCGTGTTGTCTGCTGCCCATCACCCCTCCACATAACTCATAACTCACAACAAACTGTGAGCTCCTGACAGCTGAAATCAGGCACAGCCCCTCCAGTGCCCAACCTGGCATACAGAGAGGGTTTATGCCATCATTGGAAGAGGGAACAAATGAACAAAGAATCAGCAAACAGGCTCTGGACCTAGAGGTAGGCAATTCATGAGGTAAGAATGTCATCGATGGTGCACCGCCGTTATTACTGAGACTTTGCCATGAGTTTTTAAAAGGGGAATGCCAAATGAGGTTGCATTAAATAAAGCATAGCATCCAGAAACAAGGAGGTTATTATACATTCATCTCTGGTGAATGATGGTCAGTTCCAAGCAGCTGTTTTTGGTTTTGTTGGTTTGTCTGTTTTTTGGGACAGAGTCTCACTGTCACCCAGGCTGGAGTGCAGTGGCACAATGGCAGCTCAGCCAAGCAGCTGTTTTAATAGGAATGTTTTAACAGAAAAATTGACTAAATAGGATATAAACAAAGATGACTGATGAAGAGGTCCGGCCTGGAAATGCTTGCCATATGAAGAGCCATTGGCCCCAAAAAAGAGGAATTGTTTCATTTAGGAGAACAGGGGCTGAAGGGAAATGTGATACCAAAATTTGAATGTTTAAATTTTGGATATGAGAAAGATGTCCTACATGGCTCAAAGGGAAAAATGTTAAACATTCAGAAGACAATCTCATGCCAAGAAAGGCATGGTTTTATGGTCATTAGAGCTACCCACAATCACACTGGATTCTCTGGTGAATGAATAAGCCTTTTTGCCACTGGAAACGTTCAAGTAGAGAAAGCAATTTAAAATGTTTGTTTTATTCTTTTAAGACAGGCATCAAGAGTGTTGGAATAGATGGGTCACTCTTTCAAAATAATGGTTCTATGATCTCTGACGTGGTGAAGTAAGCCCAGAATACTCAGGAAAAAAGGTCATTAGAGAAGCAGGAAACTTATCTCATTATCCCTGGGTGACTGCGTGACTTTAGTAGAAAGCGACTGCACCCAATAAATGCTGATGATACCAGTAAGAAATTGAGACTCACAGTAAATGAAGCTAAAAGGATGAGCAAGAAAAAGTAAAAACAGAAATATCACTGGGGAGCATGTGACTACCACCAACAAAACCGGGTGCCAAACTGTAAATAATCCTCACAATAGCATCAAGTCCCTAGTATATCTTCATGTCACATTTGAGGCAAAATAGGATCAGAGATGTTACATAGCCAGCTCGAAGTCACAATGTCAGTAAATGTCAATGTCAACATTCCAACTAAGACTCACTTTATATTGAAGTGTATGCTCTTTTTATCTCGTGATGTCCTGGAAAAGAGTATTGCCCTACCTCTCTGGATGACTATTAGAGGATTGCCCAGAACACCAAGTGTGTAGAGCTGTTCTGAATGAAAGGAAAAACGATAGGTGTTTTCACCAGATGATGAGGACATCAGCATCAAGAGACACACTTTTTGCCATGATCTATTCACCATAACTCTTACCTTTCTAACCATCCAAACATGGGTAAAAGAACAGGGATCAGGCCAGGCACAGTGGTTCACACCCAGCACTTTGGGAGTCCGAGGCAGTGGATCATGAGGTCAGGAGTTTGAGACCAGCGTGGCTAGTATGGCAAAACCCCATCTTTACTAAAAAAAAAAAAAAAAAAATACAAAAATTAGCCAGGTGTGGTGGTGGGTGCCTGTAAGCCCAGCTACTAGGGAGGCTGAGGCAGGAGAATTGCTTGAACCTGGGAGGGAGAGGTTGCAGTAAGCTGAGACTGGGCCACTGCACTTCATGCACTCCAGCCTGGGTGCCAGAGCAAGACACCAACTCAAAAAAAAAAAAAAAAAAAAAAAAGAACAGAGATTATTCTACAGCCAACAAAAAGAAACAGCTTAAAATAGAAGCAGCTTATTATTAAAACCAAACCAAAATGAAAACCTAAATACTTTAGGAAACTTCTATTTACTATAAATGGCATCCTAAATGTTCTTGGGTTTGTATTTGTTTACATCTTGGCCGATTTTTCCCACTGGCTAAACTACTGCTTGGGCATAACAAATAGATCAGGGGAAAAAAAGCCACCATGTGGTATTAACTTCCATGAATCTTTTTTGACTGTAACTTAATTCATCTTCCTCTGGGTACCATATGCCAAGTAACAAATTATAGATCCCCTTACATGTTGATTCATTCACACGGATATCTATTAAAAGCTCCACTTTGGAGGGCAATACAGAAATTTTAGGAATAGAAAGTCACATACCAGAATGGTTAAAGAACATGAAAAGGTATTTGACATCATTAGTCACTGGGGAGGTGCAAATTAAAACCACGATGAGCTATCACTACACGCTTATCAGAATGGCTAAAGGTAAAAATAATGAAATACCAAATGCTGGGGAGGATGCAAAGAAATCAGATTACTCACACATTTCTGGTAGAAATGTAAAATGGTACAGCTACTCTGGAAAACAGATTGGCAGTTTCTTGTAAAACTCAACATGAAATTATCATATGACTCAGTGATTGTACTCCTGGGCATTTATCCCAGAGAAATAAAAACATATGTTCATATAAAAAAAAACCTATATACAAATGTTGATAGCAGCTTTCTTCATAATAGATAAAAACTGGAAACCCAAATGTCCTTCAGTGGATGAGTGGTTAAACAAACTGTAGTACACCCATGCCATGGAATACTACTCAGCAATGAAAAGGAACAAACTATAGCTATATGCGACAACTGGATGACTCTCAAGGGAATGATGTTGACTGAACACAGCCAGTCTCATAAGGTTATGTACTGTATGACTCCATTCATGTAGCGTTAGTGGTTGCCATGAGCCAAGGAGAGAGTAGAAGCAGGGGAGAGGTAGGTGTGGCTGTGAAGGGACAGTAAAGGGACCCTCATTAAAATGTTCTGTACCTTGACTCTAGAATTGGATACATAAATGTAATTAAATTCCAAAGAACAGGAATGAGTACATGTAAGCTAAGCCTGGAAAATCTGGATAAGATTGATAGACTATATCAAAATTGATTCATTGGTTGTGATATCATACTCTAATTTTGCAAGAAATTACCATTGGGAGAAAACAGGTAAAGAGTACATAGTATCTCTGAGTTTTCTTTCTTACAACTACATGTGAAACCACAATTATCTTAAAATAAAAAGTTTAATTAAAAAAATTAAAACAACTGAAGAACCTAGTTGAACTCCAAGTGCCTGATTCTTGAAATTTGCCACTCTGTTTCTCTCTGCTATTCAAACTTTGGATGGAAGATAATCATAGGTGACTGTGGTGATTAGGTCAGTGACTTGCACGTAGTGTATATTCAATAAATGTGATCTACCATTAAGGGAAACAAAAGAATTCAGACACCTATGCCATATCTCGAAACCAGATGGGGTCTTTGTTATTTAGTTCCTTTTCTAATGCTGCCATGTGAGTAAGTAAACGAACACAGGGCCACTGTGGGTTGGCTGCAATTTGGAAATCATTCACTATTTTAAGTCTCATTGCATTTTTGACACGGAAGGAGACAGAGGCACAAAAAGAGTGGGCTACCAGCTAACTCAAATAGTGCTGAGAACCTCCACTTTCAGCATCCTTTCCTTCTATATTCCTCTAAAGATGTGCTAGTTGACTTTTTTCTTTTTCTTTTCTTTTTTTTTTTCGCTCAGCAGGCAGTGTATGAGGGGTACACATAAGGAAGAAGAAAAAACGTTCTTCTTACCATCTCATGCTTTATTTGCCCTAAATTTCTGTCCTCTGTTGTGCCATTTTTTAAAGCTACATCCCCTGCTGAGATGTTTACATGGCCAAAGAGAGCAGCAGAGGCTCCTGGGCTTGAAGGGAGGAAGCAGTCTGCTGAGACGCCATTCCCATCAGTGTTTTTGGGTCAGCGCTGCTGACATGGTAAGTCCATGCATCCATATGTATCCAAATTTTCTCTGCGTTCTTTTTAAAAGCACAAAATTAGAGTCATCTCACTCTTTTTGAAATGGCCCACTTCCCAAGAAGAATGGGAGAGGGAACAGAATAGAAAAATCTTAATGAAGCAGGAGAGGAGCCAGACCCAAGGTGCGAGCTTGCTATTGTGGTTGAGGCTCTCCTGCACACGCCCACAGAAAGGCCTCGCTGCCTGCCAAGTCCGCTTTCTCTACAAGCAGATTCAACAGAGAACAGTGCAGGAAACACTGGCACCAGAAGAGGTCTTGCCTCCGCCTCATCCTGCTCCAGAGCTCAGTGTTTTCCCCAAGGTTTGGGAACCAGGGAACTATGCCATTTTGAAATAAAAAGCACCAGGCAGAGCTGACATTTTCATCCACCCAAATTTCTAAATGAGTTCGTCGGGAAGATAGCCACTAAATAAAGCTGGCAATCACCTCTGAAATTGCATTCTGCATTCTGCTGCTGCAGAGCAGGTTATGGAAAGTGACAGTGAAGGGTGCCCGAATTTACTAAGAGTGGGAAAATTGCTTTTGGATCTGCCTAGGTCAAAAAAGAGAATACAGCATATGCAAAATACACCCGTAATTCAGTATTCACACTGGCTCGTGGCACACACTCTCCTGCGCAGGGTACTGTGCTAGATGCCAAGGTCACATGGGGAACAGACTTAGTCCCAGTCCTCAATGGGGCTAACACTCCTGCAGGCTTGGGGTGAAAGGTCATAAAGACCAATGTATGCTAGGTCTGGGAGAACAGGGAGGACACCTAAATCTTTCCAAATCAAGAAGGACGGGGCTGCCATCTAAGACTAGAAAGATTAGAAGGAAAAAACCAGGAATGGCATTAGGAGAGAAGGATGGATAGAGATGAGAAGAGATGGGGAAAATGCCATGGAGTATAAAACAAAATGAAGTGTCCCAGAGCAGAGGCTCTCATTACAGGACTACTTTTGTCCTCTTCCTGCCCCATCCTTTCATTGCCAAATCTGGCAATTTGGAGCAATATTTTTGGTTGTCTTAACAGGAGTAGGTAAAAGTCAGAGGTGCAGCTAAATATTCTGTAACGCCCCGGAAAGCCCCACCACAAAGAATTACCCAGAACAGAGCTTGATAGTGCCAAAGCCAGGAAACTCCAGCCTAGAAACAAGGTTTGGGGCAGGATCACTTCTCCGAACCTGAAATAAAATAAATGACAACCCATTCTTGGGTTAGGAAGGAAGTTAGAATGTGAGTCCCTTGTGCCATTTCTGGGTATTGGCGTATTGTTCTCACTCAACTTTCAGACACAGTTTTCCAGTAGACGAGGAGTTAGAGCCAGGGGAAATCAGTCATGGGAGAAGGGGGGGAAAACACATGCATGTACTGAGATTTGCCAAACTCTTTATAACAGCAATGTCGTTACTCTTTGTTTGATACTTTCTATCATTTTTTTCCCAGTACCTCGGCATCTTAGGCCAAGCTATTGCTTTTAATCTTTTTGGAAAAAAAGTAAAAAAAAAAAAAAGAAAAAAACAAACAAAAAAACCCAGAAGCAAGGAAGACTTGTGATACCATCAAAGTTGATCAATGACAATTTTACAGATTATTAAAATAGTTAAAAATAGGATTACCCAAATAAGGGAAGTCAGGTAAAGATCCCAACATTTTGTTTGAATACTGAGATTATTTTGGCCACATTCTCTGTGTTAAGACACTCATAAATAGGCCCTGGCTTAAACTTCAGCTCTCATCAGTATTAATACGAGAATAAAAGTGTGTCATAAGGATTCTGAGTCCACTAAGAACATTTCCTGGGAAACACCGACAGTGAAAGGCAGTGACATGTCTGGTTTGGACACTAAGATGTGATATAAAATCCCCCTTTCTCATTTCCTATCTTGACAATCCATACAACCCTTAAACAAAGGGGGTGAAATCACTTTTGGAAAATCTTCTTACAAAGTGTGAATATCTAATATCCCAGGCACATGGTCAGTTAATGTATTCTAGCATACACGAAGGAATTTGCTGAATGCTGACAGTACCGGGTAACACTTCATTTTACTATTGCATATTTATGAAATTAATGATATAATGCTTACCATCCCTCCTAACTTTAACTCTGAATGATGGTATTTGATCCTGTGGGAATGCATGGTCATTAAGCCTAGAATTAAATGCAAGAGTAATCTCAAATTTTGAGGAGGTGACAAAGAGAGATGAATATGAGAGACTACATTGTATATTAAATATAGGAGCTTAATGAGAACAAGGCAAAACAAATAAGAAAATAAGCCAGGTGTTTTTTCCCCAATATGCCAGCTAGGGTTTTATTTTTACAGAAGTGGCCCATGCTCACTTATGTGATTGAGGGATTACCAAATGCCAAATCCTGTCAGCCTAAGTATATGTTTCATTTCCAGATGATTATATCTACCACAGATTCTGTGCCTCATTGTAAAAATCTGACATGCAAAATGTATGTATGTTAGAAATAGAATCAAAGGAAAAACTCCTTAATAGCTTGCCCATGTTCTGTTAGTGAAAAAGGATTTTTATATATTCATAAAAATATTTTAGTTCATTATGGATCACAGATTTTCACTGTGGAGATATATAGGTATGATAGCATCATCAATTATCAGCTAATGAATATGGCAGCTATTTATAAATGTTATATGCTGTTTCTCATTTTGAAAATCCAGCTTCAGTTGATAGATCAATGCCTCCATATTCAATGAGCTATCCAAAAGGTCTCTATGTTTCATGAATGAAGTCCAGAATATTCTCACAATGGAACACCAAAATACGAGTCAAATATGGACGTTGAATTAAAAGTTTGCATTCTAAATATTCAAGAACTGGTAGTAAGAGGCGTCTTTAGTAGTTCACAGCCACAAAATATGCTTGTTACTCTGGACCAGGGATAGTCAATAGCATTCATACAATAGATTGGTGGTGGCCTCCTGGTGGGTGGGTAGGAGAAGCTGTTGAGGCCAAGTGTGACCCACAGAAGGATTTGTCTTCAATGTCTGTTGTGGGTATGAAAGTAGGAAACAGTGGCATGAACATTACATAATAGCCATGTCAACTCTGAATTCTTTCTAATGATTGAAATGGTAAAGTTCTAGAAAAGGGTCTCAAGAACTTTTCTTTAGCTAAGTAGCATACTTTTGAATTGACTTATGGACATAAACCTGTTATATTTTTGATATTGTATAAAGTATCCAATTTATTTGTTTGCTACTCTTAGATGGGTGCATGAATTATAAGGATTCCAGAAAAAAACCTATTTTAAATTTTAATGCAGGACTCCCACTTTCCTTCCTCAAACACTTCACAATGATGAGGAATTTATGTCCTGTCATGAGGCAAGGTTTTAAGGAGACACTTCCTTTTTCACAGGCAAATTGTATGGTAGATAAATAATGCCAAAGAAACTTGCCCTGGTCTTTCATGCTGTAACTAACTAAAGCAAATTACTAAAAGTTATGCCTGCAAACAAGTAGGGCAATGTAACAGTAACTCTCTGGAAATGCAGCCAGAAGGTCTAAAAGAAACCGCACGATAAAAAATAGAGAAGAGAATTCAAACTGTAGGAGCAGCAGCAGCCTTGAAAATGTCTTTGATCAAAAATGACTAGGCAGAAGAGTTTACTCCAATACAATTTCCACGGAAGCCAGTGCCTCAGGCCTTAGTTGCAGCTTCGGTGGGAATTAAGAAAGGCAGATGAAGCAGGCAGAAACTCCTTGAGGAAGCAGGAAGAGGCGGTCTTCTGATCTGTCCTACCTCATTCTGCAAACAAGAGCAATCTTTACCTGGAAACAAGTTGAAATGCGGAGCCTATCTCTGGGGCTGATTTTGGAGACTACGTTATACTGTACATACGTACATAATCACGCATGGATCCACCTCCATATACATTGCAGAAGTCTTCCATTTAAAACGTATTTCAGTTACGCGGTATGCTTAACACAGTTATTCTTTAAAAGGCTTGTGCACACATAGCCATCCAATATGCATTTAAAAAGTGCAGTTTGTCATTTACTTGCTGAATTAGCATGGAGTTCCGTATTTAAATTGTTAATTGAATTCTAGAACAAGAATAATGCTAAATAATAAAATATCTGCGAAGCATTCGCTGTGTTCCTTTATCTTACGCAGCTACTGAGTTGCACTGAGGAGTGTATGGAAAACGAATAAACTATTAAACTGCATCTTTTATATTTTTTTGTATCTTTAAAAACTAAGATTTTTCGCCTAACTACTAAGCTAGTTATGAAAGTCGCAGCCACCCTGGGCTCCTCCTCGAAAGAACAATGCGGCAAATGATCGAGGTGGTGCCGGCCAGGCTGATGACTTTATACGCTGCGTCCCGGCTCGGTGACCCACAAATCTCCTTTGATATGCCAGGCAGGAGAAAGAGCTTGAAAGGATCAGGAGGAGAAGGGCCCGATGAAGCCATCATGTGACAAGAATCCTAAGACTGCCGCGGAAAGGAAAAAAAAAAGCAAGAGCCGGGCAGGATCCCGGGCGCGGCTGATAGAGTCGTCGGAGCCGCCCGAGTGACCTGCTCACTGAGCAACCAGGGCGCTCGGACCACCGAGGACGCAGACCAGCGCGGGCCAGGCGGAGCCGGGGAAGCAAACTTCGCTAAATTAAAGAAATCTCCATGGAAATTAGCATGAAACATTTTCTAATCTCCCGCTTTTCACTGCCGACAAGGGTCACTGGTTTAGCTTTCCTCTTATTTTATTATTCCCCAGCCACTTCCCTGGCATCTTTAGACCCTTCCATCCTGCCACGGGTTTTCAGCCCCGTCTATGTCATGTCTTGCCGGGATTCTTAACCCTTTTAGGCTACCTCTTCTGAAAAAAAAAAAATAGTATTATTATTGTGGTTGCTGCTGTCATTGTTATTATCCGCACATCCACCGGGATGAACGTGCTGGCTCTTCTAATGCAATTATGTGCACCGGGAGCCTTGGAGAGCACTGCTCTTTCTCACCTCTGGGCAGCGCAGTCACTACCTTGCACTGAGTTCACTCCCAAACCCAGCTGCAGGATGGGCAGGTGAGGCAGCTGTCCCCTTCCTTAACCGTGGCATTACAGTTTTCGGGCTTTTCCTCTCTGTCACCTTGATTGTCTGGCAGAATGAAGTGCCACCAACCTCAGGTACTCCTAAGGTGCGATGCCCAGGCAGCTCCCACCTGGGCAGGGAGGGGCGTACAGCTCCAAGCAGTGTGTGTGTGTATGTGTGTGTGTGTGTGTCCGCGCACGCGTGCATGCAATCATGCTTACCCGGCCTTAGGCGTGTCACCTAACCTCTTGGAGCCACTTTAACTCATTAGGAAAATGGGAATATTACACCCTCATAAGGCAGTGAAAAGCATTATGGGATGTGGTGAAAGTGAAGCTTTTTACATATTAATAGATACCCAGAGAAAGACGATAAGCCTTAAAAGTAAGAACTACACACCCTGCAACAATTTTTAAAAATTGATGACATATCTTAAGATGTGAAAATTACATATTTAGGTCTCTTATTCATTAAACACCTCCAACTGGAGCCTTTGGGAGTCAGGACTCTACATCCATCAAATCAACCGTAAAAAGGAAAAAGTATTAATAACGTGTAGTGAGTGCTCACATATGCTAGATAGCTTTAGGGACACTGTCTTATTTAATCCCTAAGGCATCTCAACTTTAGTGGGTTCTTTGAAGTCAGAGGCTGTGCTGTTTTTTATTCATCTAGGTATCGCTAGATCGTGAGATAGTTCCTAACAGAGTAGAAGCTTCTTGTTACTATCAAAGGCCTCTGTGTTCCATATTCTGCACTCAGAACCGTACATATCCTATTTAATCACCTCTCGAACTCTGTCGGTTAAGCATTGCTGCATTTTGTAGATGGGAAAACTGTAGGGAAAGCAAAGGAACTTGCTGCAAATCACAGCCTCAGTAGTCAACGGTGATGAAATTTGAGGATCTGATTCAATTCGCCAAGTGATCTCCATTCAGTGAAAGAGAAAATGGAAGCAAAGAGAGGTGAAGTAACTTTCCCAGACTTGCACAGTGAATAAATTTGCAGATCCAAGATCTAGATCAGGTTTACCCAGTCCTGGTGTCTACACTGTCCTCCACCAAAGCCCCAGGAAGGCAACGGTTTGTCGTTTTAAAAGTTGTCATCTAATATCAGGCTTAAATTCCACACTTTGTACAAGCAGATCTAGCCTTAGTAATCTTTATCAGTCTGCGAAGAAGTTTATGTAAATATTCTTTGCCATTTTTATGTGTGTGGAAATTTAGAAACCTCTTTGAACCTTTACAAGTGACTCAACATCACATTCCCAGACAGCATAGGGTGTGTTGGAAACAGTATTTCAAAATAAAATCTGTTTTCTTCAACAATTTTCAGACAAGGCCAAATGAGAGACATTTCTAGAATAACTTGTGTATCTGCTTTTATCCTGTTGTGAAAATGTTACTTTTTTTTGGTGTGGAACGTTAATTCCATAAATACTGATTTTACATGTAAATAAAATTCTATTTCACATTCATAGAGAAATTTACAATTTAAATAATGTTGTGAATTATTTTATAAAAATGGACATTCTGAGACAAAATACATCTGTTTTTAACTTTGGTTTAGGATCTCTAATTTCCTGTGTATGTGTGTGTGTGTGTGTGTGTGTGTATGTGTGTATTTATATATGAATATGTATTAGTGTGTGTGTTCATATATCTTCAATTAATGAAAATGGACAGAACGATGACAACAGTCTGTAATAGGAGGGAATTTGGTGAGTTTGGTTATTTCCTATCATTTCCTACCGATTGCAAACAAGAAACTAAATCAGTGTACTTTATTCTGCTGCTGAATGTCTTAACAAGGTTTTTAACGCATATCTGTTTCTTTCAGCCAACCCCGCAAATGAGGTTTCCCAAACTGATAACATAAAAGAAACTGTGTCCTACTGATACTTGGTCTATAATTAGGAAGATTCTCCAAAGTCCTAAGGCACGCTTTGGAATATTAACCCCTGTTGATGTAAAGTCCTGGGATCCTGAGTTCACAAGGTGAGCTCTGTCTACATCCTCTTTATCTTCTACTGTCGTCTCTGTTTTCAAGGCACCTTTACCCCAAGTCTCCCCTCTGAGTGTTGCCCTCCACCCCACCAGTGAAACGCAGGGTATGTGAGGCGAGGACTTATGCTCAAGTACTTAGTTTTGCAATGAAATGGCATTAAGAAACTGGCCAGGCACAGTGGCTCTTGCCTGTAATCCCAACACTTTGGGAGGGAGAGGCAGGTGGATCATGAGGTCAGAGTTCGAGACCAGCCTGGCCAATATGGTGAAACTTCACATCTCTACTAAAAAATAAAAAATGTTTGCCTGGTGTGGTGGCACACACCTGTAGTTTCAGCCACTCAGGAGTCTGAGGCAGGAGAATCGCTGGAACCCGGGAGGCAGAGGTTGCAGTGAGCCGAGATCGTGCCACTGCACTCCAGCATGGGCAACAAAGTGAGACTCCATCAGAAGAAAAGAAGGAAAGAAGGAAGGAGGGAAGGAAGGAAGGAAGGAGGAAGGGAGAGAAAGAAGCCAAAGGCCAGCAATAAACACACTATAAACATAATTGAAGCTGAAATACTAGAAAAATGAGTGTATTTTATGTGAAAATTTAAAATGATAATTTCAATACATGTATGCAGGTATTAAAGCATATAAAAAGGAATTCTAGACAATTCTAAGTCAAAGATGCTTAATTGCAGAGGATATTCAAGGCACAATTCATAATAGGTAAGAAATAAAGAAACATATCCTAGCAAATAAGCCATAAATGTGAGGAGGTTATTAAGACTGTGATTGTTGAATGGAAAGCCATAAAGAAATTCAAAACTTGAACCAACTAATATTAAATAACAAGATTGAAGCCATAATAAAAAGCCTCCCAGTAAAGGAAAGCCTGAGATTGGATGGCTTCAATGCTGAATTCTATAAAACATTTAAAGAAGAACTAATAATCATCCACATTATTTATTGATTACAATCACTTTGACCTATAGGGTAGGGTTGGAGGGATGGTGGGGTGGATCAGTGAGCTGGAAGTGAATCAGTGAGAGGAACTGGTGTGTCATCCTAAGGATTGATAACAGTAGCAGTTTGGGAGTTCCACAAAATAAGAACATGTGGTTATCTTTTGCCTATTATCTATGTGCAGCTGATGGAAGGGGGGTCTTAAAAGGAGCCTACAAGTCTGGCTACATCATAGTGCTATGAAGGGGTTTTACATCCTTGAGCCCAATGTTTATGGTAACAGAGCCTAGGTCGCCCTGCACTGGAACATGAGGCCTGCAGAGGTCCTCCTCCTCAGAGGTCTCCTACGGCCTTCCACAGTTTGTTGTTCCTTGTTTATATGTTACTCATAACTAATTTATGTAGGCACTCTGTAAGTCCTTTCTCCTCTGCTGTTTTTCCCAACATAAAGACAGACAGAAACTTTGAGCTGGAAGGAATTTTTAGAAACCAACCTATTATATAATCACATCACCTCACTCATAAGAAAACTGAGGACCAGGAAGTACCAGTGATTAGCGAAGAATTGATATTAATGATGATGATGACAATAATGGCAAAATGCAAGCCATCTCAGTTAATGACAAACTGGTCCACAACACCAAATCCCTCCTATCCACTGCAAATGTTCTCTCTGATTCTCAGCAATGGTGCAACAACATGCCAATGTTCAAGAACTCAAGTAGAAGATTTGCTTTCCGAGTAGAATCTAATCAATGCTATCTTTAAAACAGTGTCATTCTAAGACACACTTGAATAGCAATTGCATTTTTTTTTAGTAATGAAGACATTTATCAAATCATTAGAATGTTTTACCTGCCAGTACACAAAACCTACCAAAAAGTGTTTTCCATAATAATGACTTTCATATGTCATATATAGCCCAGAAGTAAGGTACTTCCAAGGATAATTCACTGGCTTAATGATGTCAACCGTGAGCCAGGTTCTTTTGATCTTCCTGCTTTGCAAATCTTCACACACTGGCCCTTGTCCTCATGACTTATTCTACTTGGTTGTAATGTGACTGCGGTCATCCCAAGCACCATATCCCAAAAGGTGGTAAAAGAGAAAAACATTTCCCATTTTAACAGCAAAAGAAACTTTCTCAGAATCTCTACCTAAGCCTCACTGGCCAGAACTGTGTCAGACACTCACTTCTGAACCAATTGCTATAAACAGGGTCATTACATTACCACGGTTAACCTAGACAAATCAGCATTTTTCTTTTTTTTTTGCTTTCTTTTTTTTTTTTTTTTTTTTTTTGCTTTGAAGAAGGACAGTTTCTTGTGAAGTAGATGGCCATCAAGAAGGGGGCAAGGGTCATCCAGCTGATGCCATGAACAACGCCTGCCATATTTATTTTAGACTTTTTTTTTAAAGATCAGGTGATTGCCTAGTTGACATTTGATGGGGGAAATGTTGGATACTTTTGACTTGCGTCAAATTGTATAAAAAGCTTTAATGATAACATTTTAACTTCCCTGTGATTTCTTACTTGCCAACACAATACATCCAGTTGCTAAACATTTTCCAGGATCGAGCACTAATTATTCAGAACTTAAACTGTATCTGCTAAATAACAGAAAATAAATGCAGGGGGTGTTTCTTCATTTGTTTTTTTTTTTTGTTGTTGTTGTTGGTTGTTTTTTGTCATTGCTAGCCCAACAGCTAGTTCCTTGCAAGACAGAATCTTAAAAGAAACAAAGACCAACTATTTATATGAAACTGATCAATATGAAGACACCTTCAGAGGATCTGACTGTATTCTGTCAGATAAAATTAGTATGCCAGGAGCTCAGATGTCAAAAAAGACAGAAGACTCAACTTCATGAGGGACTTATTAGCAGTCAGACATAGCACATTGTCCTGTACAGACATATGCTGTCTATGCCAAGCATTCCTGATGGTATCTTAATGAATAGAGGAAGAACTCATTTTGAATCTGTAAAGTTTACCCACCAAGTTGAATCATTACATTGACAATTGGAAAAAAGCTCTTAAATTTTCCATGTTCCTTTCTCATATAAAAACATTATTTTTCACCCAATCTTTCTCGTGACACCCAACCATTGCACTCCATATCAAATAAATAGATAAAAATATTAATTTCCCCCACGTCTGTCCTAGTCTATGAACGTTCATGTTTATTTATAATCATACTGGTTCTTTTGGGCTGCAAGCTGCCTTTGGGAGGAGGTCTCTGTGTCTGTATCTGTGTGTGTGAATATTTAAAATTAGAACACAATGTTATATAACACTACACAAATGTTAACAAAACCTATTCAGTCTACATCACACTTGACAGAGTGGTACATGAAACGGTGCTTTGTGATTATTATCCGGAATCTCATTGTAGAAGGAAAAACTAAAGGGAATTTTATATCTATTTAAGTTAACTAAGCAGTGGCTCCTCATTCAGATGAAGAACATTGCTACAGAAAAAATGTGATTTTGCCATTACCTTCTCATGAATACTGACAATGAATGACAGGTTAGAGAATGAAAAGTAAATTTTTCAAAAATCAAGATAACTTAGCAATAACTTGACATATTTATAATGCATGCATCTATACATATAATATATGTATAAGTTGGATTTATAAAATCAGAACTTTTGAGAATATTTAAAATTAGAGCATAGTGTTATATAACACTATACAAATGTTAACAAAACCTATTGTATTAGCTAGACTTGGAAGCCACAGAAATTCATTCTGTTTCACTCAACCACGAAGGATATCAAAGAGCTCAGAACCTTGAGAGGTAGGCACAAGGACAGGCATAAGAAAACAGTAGACGTCAGGGTGCACTGTGAAGCTGCTGGTCAAGAAATCTAGACAGACAAGAATTCCTGAAGGAAACCACTCCAGAGCCACTGTCCTAACACACCTGCTGCTCGGTTTCTGAACCACAATACCTCCACTGTTCACCATTAACACGTCTCAGACCCAATTAAATTATTTCTGAAATGCTCCTCTGTCTTTGCATCTCTCCTCCCAAAACTGAGAGTGGTGAACTTCACCGAACCACAGAAAGCAGACAGCTGCTGGGTAGCTAAGAGAATAGGAAAAGGCCACCCTGTCTGTCATCCGAGTACCAGGCCTGCCTTGTTTGTGCTTTGCTTAATTGCAAATGTTTTCATACTGAGGATTTGTGGTAACCCTGTGGTTAGCAAGCCTATTGGCAGGATTTTTTCCAAAGGAACATGGTTATGTCTTCATATGTCTGTGTCTAGCAATATTTCAAACTTTTCATTAATATCATGTCTCTTGTGGTAATTATCGATCTTTGATGCTACTACTGTAATTTTTGGGGAACACCAGAAACCATGCCTATATAAGATGGTAAACTTAATAAAATGCTGTGTGTACTGAGTGCTCCACCAACTAGTTGTTCGCCCATCACTCTCCCACTGCACAGGCCTGCCTATTTCCTGAGACACAACAATGTTGAAATTAGGCCACATAATAACCCCAGAATGGCCACTAAGTATTAAAGTGAAAGGAAGAGCCACGTCTCTTACTTTAAATGAAAAGGTAGAAATGGTTAAGCTTAGTGAAGAAAGCATGTAGAAAATGGGAGTGGCTGAAAAGTAGACCCCTTGTACCAAACAATTAGCCTAGTTGTGAAGGCAAGCGTAAGAAATCATGAAGGAAATTTAAAATGTTACTCCAATGAAGACCCAAATAAGAAGAAAGTGAAGCAGCATTGCTGCTGATATGGACAAAGTCTTAGTGGTCTGAAGAGAAGATCAGATTAGCCACAGCTTTCCCTTCAGCCAAAGCCCAATCCAGAGCAAGGTCCTAACTCTTCTCAAATTCATGATGTCTGAGAGAGATGAGAAAACTGCAGAAGAAAAGTTTGAAACTACCGGTTCATGAGGTTTAAGAAAAGAAGCCATCTCAATAGCATAAATGTGTAAGGTGAAGCAGCAGGTGCTGATCAGAACCTTCAGTAAATTATCCAGAAGATCTAGCTAAAATCACTGGTGATGGTGACTACATTAAACAATATATTTTCAGTATAGATGCAGCACCCTTCTACTGGATGATGATGTCACCTAGGACATTCACAGCTAGAGAAGATACAATCCCTGGCTTCAAAGCTTCAAAAGACAGGCCGACTCTCTTGATAGGAACTAATGTAGCTGGTGACTTTAAGTTGAAGTCAATGCTCGTTTACCATTCAGAAAATATTAATATTCTTAAGAATTATGCTGAGACTACTCTATCTGTACTCTGGACATGGAATAACAAAACCTGGATGACAGTGTATCTGTCACAGCATGCTGTTTACTGAATATTTTAAGTAAACCTACTGCTTAGGAGAAAAAGAAAGATTACTTTCAAAATATTACTGTTCATTGACAAAGTACCTTGTCATCCAAGAATTCTGATGAAGGTGTACAAGGAAATTAATGTTGTTTTCATGCCTGCGAACACAACACCCATTCTGCAGTCCAGGGATCAAGGACTTAAGAAATACATTTCGGAACTGAATAGGTGTCATAGATAGTGATTTCTCTGATGGATCTGGGCAAAGCAAACTGAAAAACATCTGGAAAAGATTCACCACTGTAGATGCCATTAAGAACATTGCAACTCATGGGGGAAGGACAAAACGTCCACATTCACAGAATTTGAAAGTTGATTCCAAACCTTGTGGATGACTTTGAGGGGTTCAAGACTTCAGTGGAAGAAGTAACTGCAGATGTGGTGGAAATACCAAGGGAACTAGAATTAGAAGTGGAACCTGAAGATGGGACTAACTTGTTGCAATCACATGATAAAACTAGCAGATGAGGAGTTACTTCTTTTTTTTAATTGCATTTTAGGTTTTGGGGTACATGTGAAGAACATGCAAGATAGTTGCATAGGTACACATGTGGCAGTGGGATTTGCTGCCTTCCTCCCCTTCACCCATATCTGGCATTTCTCCCCATGCTATCTCTCCCCAACTCCCTGCCCTTGCTGTCCCTCCCCTATTCCCCCCAACAGACCCCAGTGTGTAGTACTCCCCTCCCTGTGTCTATGTGTTCTCATTATTCAACACCCGCCTATGAGTGAGAACATGAGGTATTTCATTTTCTGTTCTTGTGTCAGTTTGCTGAGAATGATGTTTTTCAGGTTTATCCATGTCCCTGCAAAGGACATGAACTCATCGTTTGATTGCTGCATAATATTCCATGAGGTATATGTGCCACATTTTCCCTGTCCAGTCTATCATCGATGGGCATTTGGGTTGGTTCCAGGTCGTTGCTATTGTAAACAGTGCAGCAATGAACATTCGTGTGCATGTGTCCTTATAGTAGAACGATTTATGGTCCTTTGTATATATACCCAGTAATGGGATTGCTGGGTCAAATGGAATTTCTATTTCTAGGTCCTTGAGGAATTGCCACACTGTCTTCCACAATGGCTGAACTAATTTACACTCCCGCCAGCAGTGTAAAAGTGTTCCGATTGCTCCACATCCTCTCCAGCATCTGTTGTCTCCAGATTTTTAATGATCACCATTCTAACTGGCATGAGATGGTATCTCAATGTAGTTTTGATTTGCATTTCTTGGAGTTGCATCTTATGGATGAGCAAAAAAAAAAAAAAAAAAAAAAAAACCGGTTTATTGTGATGGAATCGCTCCTGGTGAAGATGCTATGAATATTGTTGAAATGGCAACAAGGACTTAGAATCTTACACAAACTTAGTTAATGAAATAGTAGGAGCTTTGGGAGGATTGACTCTAACACTGGAATTTTACGTGAGTAAAATGCTATCAAATTGCACTGCATACTACAAGGAAATCTTTTCTGAAAGGAAGAGTCAATCAACATGACAAACTTCATTTTTGTCTTAATAAAAAGAAGAATTGCCACAGCCACCCTAACCTTCAGCACCCACCACCCTGATCATTCAGCAGCGTTATGAAGCAAGGTAAGACCCTCCTCCAGCAAAAAGATTTTGCTCACTAAAGGCGCAGGTGATTGTCAGTGTGTGTTTTAGCAATAAATTATTTTTAAGATATGTACATTTTTAGACCTAGTACTATTCCACACTTAACAGACTACAGAATAGTGCAAACATAACTTTTATATGCACTGGGAAAGCAAAACATTCATGTGGCTCATTTTATTGTGATAGCCACTTTATTTGTGGTGGTCTAAAACTGAACCCACAATATCTTTGAGATACACTTATAAATGCCTCTTCCTAAATTTATCCAGAAGGGAAAAAAGAAGTGGATCATTGGGACATCATACACCTGTGCAACAATAAACATACTCTTCCCCAAATGGAGACACTTCAGCATCTTATCAGTGATTTCACATAACCCTAAGTCCAAACAAACTGGATGATGTTCATTCTTCCTACGCAGTCACAATCCCATGCTTAAATTCTGCTTTCATGAACAAGTGTTTAGTATCATACCCCAAATGCAGTACTAAAAGAAAAAGAAAATGAATTCGAAGTTAACGATATCTAAATGTATTTATTATTCCATAAAAATAGAAAGTCTAGAGGATACTAATCAAGTTTCTACAGCAGCATGTGAAAGCGTAACTGATATTTATGACTTCTTTCCTTTCTTGCCCATTCTGCATACTTTCCCTTCAACCAGCACCAGAGCTGACCAGTTAGGCGTTGACGTTTAGCCTAATGAGTTACTCCAGCCTTTATTGTTGTTGATTCCAAGTCTTTGACAGCTATTCCAGTTTGTGATTTTTTTCTACCATCTACTTTTACTACTATAAATGGTAGGTACCCTGAGAAACTAGCTGTGTTCCACCCATAATTCTCCTACTCCATTGTAAAGTAGTAACCCACTTTGTCCTTTATGGTTAGGATCGATTACATCAGCCAGCACTAAAATCCCTATCATTTCCTCTTTTCCTGGAGTCATGAGAAGCTGAGAATAGCCAGATGGTAATATGAGTTTCCAATTCAATGGAAACATTGTTGTGTGTCTTAATGGAAACATTCTTCCTTGTGGATTAATACCTCTAACGCATTGGAACAAGATGCCCCCAAAATGTAAAAGTCGTACTATAACTATAACTGAAACATAAATAGGCCATTTCTAAAATTCTATCATGATAGATATTTCTGAGTTATGGCAAATATCCTGCGGATAATGAATCAAAACAGGGCAGTCTTTTCCCTGTCTTATTTTTTCTGTTAACCGTTTTCATTAGAAGCAATGTTATGTGAAAATCTGTACCAAGGTTCAAGCAATAAGGAAGACCTCTAATAGTACTGCTCGCAGATGCTTGATGGCCAAGGACAACAAATTCATATTCAGCATCTATTCCAATGTGGAAATTGTTTGCAACCTCTACCTTAGAAGGGTTTCAGTGTTTTTATCCTGCTACCGGACACCTGGCTGGTCATCCCAGGTGTAACAATATGTGGATCTTAGTGTCACTCACTGGATACGAATTGAACATCCAGTAGAAGTGGCCTGAACAGTCTTGGTGAAGGGGAATTCCATGTTTTTAAGCTCGTCTTGAGCATACAACCTTGTTTCATGACACTCGAAGCATTTATGTAACTAACATAAGGGAAAGACACTTCCAGAAAACCACCACTAATTAGCAACAGCTTCTTCTGCTGTGGGTATGATCTTAGGCAAACATTCCAAAATAATCTCAAACTGTGATTTTTCTGAAAAATATACACCTCATCCCTAAACCCTCTTGTTGTAATTTTCAAGTTTGTTCCTTCAACCCCCGGGTCACAGGGACAAACCAGTGGCCATTCCCCATGGACTTCTATACATGATACATCCTGATTTTAAGCCATCTCTTCATCAAGACACATTTTGCCATGAAGTGGAGCGACAATATACAGAGCTTAAAATTTTAAGTTTTACGTTCTCCATCCTTTTTAGGGACCAACTCTCCCAGTGCCACATATCATGAAAAGTCATATAGAAAACTTGCTCATTGCTAGTTAATATATATCGCTTTTGAGGATTAAAAAAGTCAGGATGCTAGTTACTTGTGTTGTCCTTAGGAACTGCTCAGTCCTAATCCTATTTGAACCACTTCTATTTGATGACGGAGGGTAGTCGGTTCACTTTATAAATGGGAAGACAATATAAAACTCCATCACAATGGGAAATTTGACTCAAGTGTCATTACATGGTTCTTACGATCAGAAACTTAGTCACCATGAGAAATGAACAGCAAAGCAAGAACTTGTTCTTAGAAACAGCATGATTATTTGTTTAAAGAGGGTGGTTTTTGTCCCCAAAACCAGGACTTCATTCTCCATGACCACACTTACGTCCAGCACTATTGAATCTGTTACTTTATAAAGGCCAAGGACCATAGCTGCTTGTCTTGAAGCCTAGATCACTGGGGAAAAGTTATTTGTTCTGGGCTCTGTTTATATTTGGAAGCTCACATAATTGAGACAGAGCAGAACCCTCACTTGTGATATAATTTGCTTCTAAATACAAAAAGCCCCTCCAAGCATTTTGCTCCTTAGTGTTACATGACAAATGTTTATTAATCTTCACTTTGAGATTCCAGATCAGTGGATCACCAGAAAGCTCACTGAGGTGGTATGCCTGCGCATTTTTTTGTTTTTGGGAATTGATCTTCAAATCTATACCCTGCATGTGTCTTTCCAAGGCATTTAAGATACCTGTTAATTCTTTCTCTCCATGTGCTATCAACGTAATATTATTCATGTAGCAGACTAGCAAGATGTCCTTTGGAATTAAGCAACAGTCAAGGGCCCTAGAAAGGAATTTGGACACTGTTGAAACCAGGGGCAAGACGCAGAAGGTATATTGCTGCCCCTCTTTGTTCAGTCAAACTTCTGCCAATATTTTTATTTATTGAGAGAGAAGAAAAGCATTTTCAAATCCACAGATGCCTTCCAGGTGCCAATGAATGCACTGAGTTTCTCCAGCAGAGAAACCGCATCTGGAGCCACAGTTACAATGTAAGTCAAATCTATTTCTTTTTAAGATAACTCTCTCTCCTTCTGCAAGGTCCTTCATTTTCTGCACTTCAGCAACTAGAGAGATAAGTAGAGTTATATTAGGAATCACCATACCTGCTTTTCTGAATTCTCTGATGGCCGTGCTAGTCTTTCTCTGGAGGAAAAGATTCCCCTCGGGATGGGATATTGCTTTTGTTCTATTTTATTAAGGACAAGACGTTCTAGGGGACATAATAGGACCATAATAACTTTTACCTTATAAGTCCTAAAATCTAGTAGGGCTTGTTCTAGTACCTACGTGTGTGTGTGTGTGTGTGTGTGTGTGTGTGTGTGTGTGTCTGTATTTTAAATATGCAATCTTACATTTCAAATATATACTATATAATTAGGAAAGGGCAGCAGAATAGCTTTGGGATATATTGCACCAAAAGTTTATTTATTGACTACACCCATGACCTACCTCTCTAACCTATGGACTATCGTGGCATTCCAGGTTTTGGAGCAACAGTGTAACACTGAGTTGTATACACTAATTCACAAAAATATGTGAATATTTCCCTTTTCCTAGTGATATGTTGTGCCATATATCTTTGAAATAGACTTGGAGAAAGTATCATGATATATACTTTTATATTACTACAGCATGCAATCACAATACTATCTTCCTCCATTTCATTCTAGGAGCACTAGGTCTATGGACTGACTTGGGCATTGGAACAGCAATATAGGTTTAGGATGGCAAATATACATTATGATTTCTCAGGTCTGGCCTAAGTTCACCAGATATAAAGCTCCTCCCTACCCCAAAATACCCAATCCATTGTACATATCATTTAGGAAACTAGTAACAATTTTAAATCTGCTTTGTCCCAAAGAATCATAAGATATTAACAAAGGTCCAATATTCTTGAAGTTCTGTTTACCAGGTTGGCCTTTAGATTCTAGAGTTTAAATGGAACTACAGTCAACCCTCTATATCTGTGGCTTCTGCATTCTCATTGTCAACCAATCACGGATCAAAAATATTGGGGGGAAAATAACAATAAAATGAAAAATAATACAGATTTTTACAAAATACAGCATGACAACTATTTACGTAGTATATACATTGTTTTAAGTATTATAAATAATCTAGAGATGTTTTCAAGTACATAGGAGGATGTGCATATGTTATCTGCAAATACTGTGCCATTTTATGTCGGGAACTTGAGAAACCCCAGATTTTGGGATCTGCAGGGAGCCTTGGTCCCAATCCTCTGTAGATACTGAGGGTCAACTGTTACTTTGCTTCTGCTCCTCTGCAATCCTCCTACCCATTGAAACCAGGAACCTACTTCAAGTGCAATCTCTCATAAGCATCTTGAACCCTAAGCAAATCATCATTAAGCATCTGCTCTCATTACACAATGTTTTCCTCAGAGTCTTGGTAAAGAGTCTTCTGGTGTTTCTCAGGGGATAAACTTAGGAAATGATCTGAAGTAACACATGGTGAATGGACTACACCTTCTAACCTCTGAGTCTTTGCAGTATTCTCTGTATATTATACCAAGAATTTTCTGGCATTTCAACTGTTTTCTTTCTTTTAAGTGCATGCCACCCTTAGTTTCTGGTTTCAGATTTAGGTATCCATCCAGAC